GTACAGATTGACGTCGAGTTACAGAACAATGACCACAAGTGTATACCTAAACACTTGAAAACAAAGCTCTGATTGGGTTTGGATGCTGTGTTAAAATATGAATCAAATTGACAATGAGTGCATAGTTTCAGTTTGCACATTCAATATGTTGTCTGTGTACTGTTTTCAAATGAATCAACATGAAAAGTGTTTTGGAGTTACATTTTACTCTGTGTTCTTACTTCTTTTATATCTGGGTTGTGTCACAGCTTTAGCTCTTTTAATGAGTCTAAAGCCTCTTTTGCACTCCTGAAAATGTCTCGACAATGTCCAGCTTGGCTGCACTTGTCAACCCAAATGTCAGAATCAGTTGACCTGCACTTTAAACATGTTTTTTTTCCTGCAAGCACTCTTCTCACAAAGTCTGAATGGATGAATGTGTGACGGGTCGGCAGCAGGTGAAAGTCTGGATTATTCATCGCCAGGCAGCAAGAGAGCAGGGTGATGACATTCTTCACATTGAGCAGTTCCTCTTCTTTTCACTCATTACTGCTTGCCTCTGTTTCTTGTATATTGCTATCAACTCGCGAGTTTTCATTTTTTAAACGTCCTTTCACATGTTGCCGTGATAATAACCAGAAACATTAACCATTACTGTGGGTGCACTTAAACCAAATAGACTTTTTCCAGACACGTTCAACTCTGGAAATCTCCCATTCTGTCGGTCATGTGTGAAACAGAGGTTGTGGAAAATGTCAGGACCTAAAAATCTGAAAATTGTCTGTAAATGGTTCTAAATTTATGTTTGAAAGGGGCTGAAATTGTGAGATCTAAGGGGAATATCTTCTTGGATGAACTTTGTTTTAGAAAGTGAGAGCTGCAGATCATTATTGCTGGATTTTGACATCCTGTATCTGTGGTTTCCATTGGCTGCTCCCTCTACAAGTCAAGGCAGATGTCTCATTGGTGATAACGATTAGATGAAGCAAGGTATCGCTAACATATCAAACTATGATTTTTACCTGTGTAAAAAAATTGGTTATGTGCTGATGTGAGGATAAACAGCCAGATATGATGTATATGTCACTCTGGCTGTTCACTTCCTCTTACACTCACTTGTTAATGCAGAGGTGTGTTTTGTAAAGGCTTTTTAAAAAGCCAAGGCAGGACCATATGATTCCAGAGGAGTTCTCTAGAAGCTATCTATTATGTATGACCACTCCAGGGTTCAGACCTTTGCTTTGCGCTCACAAAGGGGCTCTGCTTGCTCCTGGCCAACAACGCCACCATGACCAGAGGCAGGCCTTCCCCTTGTCCGGGAAGAGGAGTTCATTAGAGCCAAGCCCACAGCCGTAATAGCTACGAGATGGACAGCAGTAATAGACTGCATTTACCCACACACTCCTTTAAGAGAAGACATAGACTATATACATATCTGTCTTCAGTCATTAATACCAGTTTTCAAAGTCGAGTGGTGTTGCAAGAAGTCATCGAGAAAACACTTTGTCTTTAACAAAGCTGAGACGTCAGCTCCTCTTTAATTACTGAATGACAGATTGAACAGGCCTCACCAGTGCACTGAACATTTTTCAACTGAAGAGATCTGTTCAAATGGAAGAAAATTCTGCAAATCTCTAAAGTAATGTAGAAATCTTTTCTCAGATTAGCTGTTTCCACTCGCTCCATGACTCCTTTAACGCTTTCCTTTCAGTTTAAAGTTGAACTCTTCTTTCTTTATTATGTTGTGGTTTCCATTTATATCCTTTTTTTCTTCTATATTTGTGTACATCTTTAGGATATATTGGTCGAGCCCATTTTAGCCCGGTGTAATCCTCACTGTACATAAGAATGTGTTGAGTCTAGCTTCGGCGCACAGGGGCATTCCCGTGACCCATGTGATTTAAAGTGCATTTGGATCGCTGTGGTTAGCTGACATCTCTCATAACTTCAGTTTAGCATCGCCGACAGCTAATGGCTCTCTGTCTGCTGCAAACTCAGAGCAGACTGGAAAAGCATTACCATTGAGACGGAAGGAGAGGGCGTAAAATATGAATGAACGGAGCTCCCCACAGAAGCATGCTCGCTCAAAACAACTCTTTGTCTTACCTCGTCTGGGTTTTTAGGAAGCTGGTTTCTAAGCTTTGATGCTTTGAGGTTTTTCCTAGAACAGTCTGGAGTAGATTCTTGTTTTGGCTATTTTTGCAGAGCTTGTTTTACCTCAACAGTCCGAGGTGAGGAGACGAGAAATGTGTCCATTTTTTTTTGTGGGTATAAGTGTGCACATGTACCTTTTTTTTAGGCAGAATTTTGCAAACAGATAATTCTTGTGTATGAAAATGTTTAAATGGTGAGCGTACATTTAGCTAAATCATAGTTATAATAATATAGCCTTTTTTTTTTACGAGCTATAGAAGGATAACATTTCAAACCTGTCTTGTCTCAATCTGTGGATGAGTTCAGTGGGTTTCTTTCTTGTTACAAATAAATCATTTTAGCAAACCAAAAAGCATCACTAAAAACCATGTAAGAAGTTTTATCGTTTTGGGGACCGGCGACACTATCTGCCCAAATCCCAAGAAGTCAAGTCAGACATTTTCCACGAGCTTCTAAAAGAGTTGATTTCAGTTGATTTTGCTTTGATCGCAGAAGAAGAAAAACAGCTTTAACCGTGTTAGTGTCTGCTGGTCTGAGATGCATTAGCTTTTCCTAATAGACTGTGTTAAACATCTAAGTAGTCTCAGCGATGTCCCATCTTGGAAATGCTCCTTACTATGTAAACTCTTAACTAACGCTTCATGTTTAGATAAACAAATATTGTAACTTTTTTTTTTTTTTTTAATGTAACCCCCAGTTTGGCTGTTAACATGTTAATTTCTGCTGTAAAAATAAGCATTTTAATATAGGTTTTATCTGGACTCCTTGGTTTTTGCAGCCAGCCTCAAGTGGTCACTCAAGGAACTGCATTTTTGAAAACTTCAGCACTGTCTTCATTTTCCAACATTGGACTTCGCTTCTTGCTTTTTCCTGTTTGGGAATTTTATTTATCTTCTTGCACTGCATTATATATTAAACACATTGCTGTGTAGTTTAATCTCTAAAAATAAAAATGCAAACTACCCTTTACAAAAAAAAATAGACATGTTTCATATTATTAGCCGAGCAAAATCAATGGAATTCTGAAAACAGTCATTTCAAACATTGACAGTCTGGAAGTTTCATGTGACAGTAAAAGCATAAAAACAAATGTTCCTTATTTAAATCTGCCTTCCTTTTGACTCTCATTTCCTCATATTTTATAACTAAACGGTTTGACCTCTTGAGGTTGGCAGATCAATCCACTGTTTATATCCATGTATTCTTTAACTCATCGTAAACAAACAGTCCTCAGCCCTGTGGGAGAGGCGCTCGTTTCCAAAGATGTTTTACTGTCGCTGCTTCACAACAATAAAGTTTATTTGTCACTCAGCCAAACGTCTTTGTCTTCGTGGCTGCGACATTGATTCCTATCCTCTTTTTCATAGAAACATGACGCACAATGCAGAGCAGACGCACAACAAACACAACAAAACACTAATTACTATAAACACCTTCTTCTTCTTTTGAATGGAGCAACTTACTGTAATTCAAACACTCTTCTGCTTTGAGTCCTTAAGCCATCTTACTGAATCTATGAAAGTGAATGATTTATAAAAACAGTGTTTATCCTGTAAGTCACATACGATTTTAACTATTCTTCTTCTTTAAGAAGGAGTGCACTTTTTCTTACTTTTTAAAAATTGCTGACATATTGAAAGAATTTGAGAGCAAACCTGTGACAGCTGAAAACACTGACCTATAACACTGCAATTTGCTGTGGTCCTCTTCTTGTGCTGATCTGTAAAACAAAAACGGATAAAATATGTTTTAATGACTACGATCCTTCTGCCTTGTATTTGTTAAGTAATAGAACTGGCTGAATATGCAAGGGAGAAAGTACAAGATTTTGGCACAAAACAATACTTCCTCTACACTTCAGCTGTGTTGTTATAGCAGTATTGAATGAAGACATAAGTGTATTGTACCGTCGGGTTGTCATATTCTGCATGAACTGAGCATGTTGTGATTTGTATTAGAAACTCCAAACATTGCCTGAATCTGTTTTTATTTCAACAGAAAAAAAGTATCATTATAAAATCATTATAAAAAGTCTAATGATTGCTTGGAATAATAATTTCCAGAGATAGTATACTCAATGAGAGAGAGCGAGAGAGAGGGGGGGGGGGGGATTCAGAGATGTAGAGAGGGGTTGCAGAGAGTGTGTGTATTATAAATAACCCAAATCAATAATAAATGACACAGTACCTCACATATTTGGAGTCAGGTCTGGGGTCCCCAGGGGAGCCAGATGAAAAAAGCATCCCCCCCCTTCCCCCTTCCACTCCCCCTGTCACTGGGAGGAGGGGGAGGAGGGGGGGACAAGAGCATAAGAAGGTACAAAAATAAGACTTGCTATCTTTCTCTCTCTCCCCCCCCCCTCCTGAGCGTGAACCAGCCTGTGGTTATGGTTTGCATGGATGCTCTGTGTGTGTGATTGTGTGTGTGTCTGTGTGTGCACATGTGTGTACATCGGGAGGCGGATGCCGTCCATTACTTATTCATCAGGCCTGTCTGCCTGGCTGCCACACTCTGTATTTCAGCATGCCTTGCAATCATTATGCCACATGCATTATTTAAGGCACAAGTGCACGCTGAGTCTGATGCAGATAGCTACATGAGCTATTTATCTCGGAGATGCTCACTTATCGCCTCGTCTGGCTCTCTCATTGGTTGTAGCAAATAACTGCACGGGCCCTCTGCCACAATGGAAGTTCACTGTCTTATCTTTGGCATATTTACAACCCTGCTCCCTCTAGCACCCTCACTTTCATCCAACAAAGCGACATGTCAATACAACATCACTTCTCAGGTCCAGTGCATGTCGGCAGTCAGTCACGAGTGTGAAGACCTGGATGCTAATGCACAAAAACAACCACAACGCCATTAAAAAAAAGTGCTTTAATGATTCACGATGTGTCGCCATTTACAACATGCAATGCATCAGATCACGTTCAGGCAATTCATCACACAAATCAACTATGATTTAACACTTACTTATTCTAAAAGGGCTCCTGTAGGCTACCTATAAAAACACATTCTAACAACTGGCTTCTCCATAGACCTTCTTCTTTTCATTTGTCACAGATGCTTCACTTAAATGACCTTTTTTGCTGTTTGTGTCTATTTGATGTGCATCTAATGACTTCATATCATCATTTTTTTTCTGTTTCAGTGAGTGCTTTAAAAAAACGAATCAGATGACTTTATTGACGATCGTGGCGCTGTTCCAAAGGTTGAATCGTTTTTAACTGAGAGCGCTAAAAACACCTAACTACATTGTTTTGTTGTTTTTCTTCCATGAACTCTACTATGTTTAACTCTGAACAGCTGACACAAAATAAGTTATGTCCTTGTCTGTTCAAAAATGCATGGTTCTCACCATAGCACTCAACATGTTGATACCTTCGTCTTGTTTTCCTCGCTGTCTTTCTTCTAAGCATATATGCTGTTGTTGACTTTAAAGCCAGGAGTCGATACCCCTGTAGGCCGGTTTGTAGATGTACATACTGTACATGCTGCTGGAGTATAAGTTCAATTTAGTACGATTTCATTTGGACTAACAGGTTTACATGCATTTTAAAAAGTCCAGTTTTGGACGGACCTACTCAACAAATCCACATTTTTTTAATAGCATGTGAACACACTGACTTTCTTTGATGGCTCTTTCATGCAGATGTGTATTCCTGATTTCATGGTCAGTAGTCCTAGTGTGTTACATCTGTTGATAGAGTCAGAGTTGGACAAGTTTTAAGACAGTAAAAAAAAAAAAAAAAAAAATGCTGTGTTGTAACCAGAAACACATTTTTTTTCACCGCCTGTCCACCAGAGTCTTTCTGGTTCTTTTTGTGTACTTGTCTTTCTTCTCCCCGCCTTCTGATCTTTGACCCTTTGACTAACCAACTAACCTGATGTACACACATTGACTTTGACCTCAAAGTTCATGGGGTTCTCTTCATGCTCAGAATCACGAGTCTGGACTCAGCTATCTGATCGGTGCTACTCTGTGTCGAAAAAAGGAAAAAAAGGTGTTTGTGTACATGTTTGTTTGTAATCGTGTTTTTTTTTTCTTTGCTCAGTAGCATTCATTGTTATCAGTGTCATGGCTGTATGAAGCTCCACTAAGCCTTTGACGTCAACACCATAGAGCCAGCTGATAACGCAGCCCGTTATCGCAGCCAGGTGTGTGGGTGTGCTGTCTGATCAAACAAAACTTGGCTTCCTGGATTGTACGGTGAACTTCAAAAATAGCTCTGGCAAACACACACAGATAGAGACGACCCCATACGCTCCAGAAAAGGAAAAAAAAAAACGCATCAAGTAGATAAAGAGATGTGTGCAAAAAATCAGTGCTCGTACATGAACTCAGATGGTGTGACTTCTGTTTGTTTGCTGATTTCTTAAACTACTAACTAAGGTCTGATATTTATACACTGTTACAATAAACAAAGTAAGTGAATGCGTCACAGAGACGTGTGGGATCAGGCTGCAACACAAGTCTAACTCCAACTGGTTTAAGAAGGTATAAATAGTCATTTTGCTCACCTTTCAGACTCGCACACACCCACAGGTGTTCTCATGTGTCGTCACTGATTTAACTTCTCGACTGTGTAGGTGTGTACTGACTTTATTGGTGTCTCTCTCACTCTCTGGTTAGTTTTGTTCTACCTGGTAGGGCGGGTCAGTTAAATTACACCTTATTCTTTCTCTTTCTGTTGTTGACATTGCATAATTACATGTAATACACCCAGCTGCATGGGTGTAATTAGTCAGGATAAGTCAAAGAGGAAACTGCTTGTGAATGACAATCATTTCAGGGTGTTGATCGGTGTACTGTGGAAGTTAATGTGTCAATGGATGTCCCCTTCATGTTGCTGTGCCCAAAGCTGGTCTCACCTTTTTCAATACATAATTTTTTTAAAAGCTTCTCTGCATACCCAACTAAAGGTTTGTCAGTTTTGTTTTCACTCCGACGCCACACAAAACTACTATACCAGCATTTATGAGACTCATGTACGATGCACTCATGTCCAGCGTTTCCAACAATTACTTGCGGTCGTTTGGAAATTAAAACATTTCCAGATGTTTTATATCTCAGATTGTTAAGTTATGACAGTGTTGTTTTTAAAATATATATAACTGAAGGATATGAGTCAGTGGGCTTTAGGATCTCAAGTTCCCAGAAAAACAACTGAGCTGGGGCGCTGGTGGCACAGTGGTTAGTCCGCGCGCCTCATGTATGGAGGCAATAGTCCTCAAAGCGGGCGGCCCAGGTTCAAATCCAGCCTGTGGCACTTTTCTCGCATGCCATTTCCCACTCTCTCTCTCTCCCTGATTTCTGAATCTATCCACTGTTCTATCTCTCCATTAAAGGCACAAAAAGCCCAAAAATAAATCTTTAAAAAAAAACAACTGAGCTAAAGTTAGCTGCATCTCAGCCCGCGGCTCCATATGTCCATAAAATCTTGTCAGTGATGGACGTGGACGATTCAACTTAAAGCTGGATTCTCAAGGTTTACACCCTGCCATGTTTTCCCCTGCATTGCTCTGTGTTCTTTGTTAGGAATAAGATACTGAAAAGTGCAAAGATTTGACTAATTCAAATGTGTGTCTTCACAACCAATGACTCTTAAACCATTGACTTAGAGAAGGGCAGCTGTACTATCTGTAGCTGTTTATTGTTTTCCATCTTAGGCATTACAATTACATTTTTCCAAACAGTTTGGACTGTACAGTATATCCTTCCAATAACTGATTTTACAGTTGAGTCAGATACCATATGGTATGGTATCTTGTATCATGTATGTCATTTACAATACCAGCTGTGGAATCTTCTTTTGAATCTTTGTTGTCGTCACAGTCAGAACTCTTCCTGTCTTTGAAACGGGGTAGTTACTTTTGAAAGTGAGGGCTGGCCTCAATATTAACCATCCTCATAACATTACAACCTAATCCCATTAACATCCTGTCTACTCCACTCTCTCCTACTGGCTGTGAATCAGACTGCACATTGAAATGACAGAAATATGTCAGATGTCATTTTTCAGAGACGCACTCTTCATTAGTGGACTCTGATGCCCCTCGATAGACGAGTCCTTCAAACGCACTGATTGCTCCTCTTAATCGTTCAATTAAAACCTCATCACTTATTTGCAAGTCATTTTTCAGCCTCCATATGTTAATCTGCATCTCTGGACTGGTTCAGTCCCAGTCTCTGTGTGATTGTTTTAACTTTTCTCTATTTTCTTCATATTGCTCTTCAGATGTTTCAAGTGTTGTATCAAGAAGCAGAATTTCAAAATTAAAGCTTAAAATATATATATATATATATATATATATATATTTTATAAGTGTACACAAGAGTTGATAAAGCATCCAAGCAGAATTTGCTCACATGAACCAGTAAAAACAAGTTGGATACAAAGCTGTAATTATCCCTTTTGTATGAAGTTTTACAGTTGAAAGACAAAGCATGTAGTAATAAAAATCCAGACCAGTCCATAACAACTGGGTGCTCTGTTGGTTTGTAGGAAGATTGAGATTGGAGTGGATCCACAAATCTGTGTGTGTATGTGTGTGCAACAAGTAAAAACGCATAAAAAAAATGCAGAGGTGTCTCATAAAAACACAGTCTAGTCAAATGAGAATCAGCTGGTCACAATCTGACGCCCTCCGCCTCTCTGCTGGTCGGCGTGTTTGCAGGGAGAGAGAGCGAGAGAGAGAGAGAGAGCGAGAGAGAGAGACTCCCATAAAATGCTCAACATGCCTGAGACTGCCCTCTGATGTCACAGAGAGAGAGAGAGAGAGGGAGAGAGTGGGAGGGGACCAGAAGAACAGAGGGAGGGAGAGAGAGTGGCAGCCGGAGGGCAGAGCGAAGCACGTCAGTGAGAGAAACAGAGAGAAGCCGTACATAGAGTGAGAGACGGAGAGTGTGAAAGGCAGGGAGGGACACAGATCGTTGCTCAGCACGGAAACAACCAGGTTGGTCTGCTGTGTTTTTCGCACCGCAGTGGACTTTACAGCTCAGTTCCACTTGAGCAGCACTTTTGGCTACAGGCACACACACTTTCTCTCAGATACTGTACATTACAAAGAGACGTGGACACACACACACATAAACAAACGCACTACGAGCGGTCAACTCGGCACAACTGATGGGTAAGAGCTCTTGTTGTTCTCTCACGGTTCACCATTTGTTGTCAATCAGTTTGATGTGTTTATTCTGTGTTTCAGTAAATGTAGTGCTTCTCTGTGTGCTGACTAACTATGTTGTTCCATGTTTATGTGTGATCTCGACGCATGCATGTGTTTATATAAACTCGTATTGCCTATGGTTACCTTTCCCTGTGTGTGCGTCCACTGGAGAAGAGAGAGAGAGAGAGAGTGTGTGTGTGTGTGTGTGTGTGTGTCGGTGCTGTGTGGGTGTGCAGCTTTGAGTAGTGGCAGTGTTTATTGAATGGTACTGATGTATGGAGACTCTTGCTCAGCACTGCTCAGCAGCCTTTAACTGAATGGAGCAGATGGCAGTTGGCTGCGTCTGTTCCTCCCCACAGCCTTTTGTGTACATGTGTGTTGAGTGTGTTTTTTTCCCTCTGTGCGTGTGTGTGTGTGTGTGTGTGTGTGTGTGAGAGAGAGAGAGTGTACATGTCCAGTATAGAAGTTAGAAGTTTACACACAGTGATAGATCTCATAAAAAGCTGAAAAAAGCCTTCACTGTAGAAGAAGACATGAAAAACCTGTATATGAAGCAGCAAATGATCAAGTAATTAACAGAACGGAAGTGGTAGCTCCAATATTCTGGTAATTGATTTAAACTGTCTGTTCGCAGAATCCTCTTTTCTAAACGATGATTTTTCGTTCTTCTTTCCTGAACCCAAAAACTAAATTTAAAGACGCCTATAAGAGCTCAGGAAGAATGTGAATGAGTCATCTGTCATTTTATGGACTCAATGATCAATCCATTAACTTTGAAAAATATTGGGCATGATGAATCCATAACTACAAATAATCATCAGTTGCAAGCCATTGACCCTAATAGAAGAAATCTGAGCTCTCTTACTTTGTCTTCATTGTTTTTTGGTTTGATTACATTTGATACTTTTGCATAATTAAATAACTAGGTTTTTGTTCTTATTCTGGTTGGTGTCCAGGGCATGCAGTGTGACCATGTGGCTCCATGCATGGCTCTCTGCCTTGGTTTATGTCTGAGCTGTATCTGTGCATCTCAGTTTTCTTCAGCACTGTCAGTAAAGCTTTAAAAAAAAAAAATAAAAAAAAAATCACACAAATGTGATGAATCCAGTAGAGAAGCAAATCTAAAAAAATGCCAGTTATGCTGATTTTTATCTCCATATACACTCCTTAGAACACATCGCCCATAAATGTTTTCAATGAGATGGTAAGTTGCTTTTAGAGTGATTCAACCCGGTGAGTTCAGTCTGTGAGTCTTGACAAGCTGCCCTCAGAGGAAGAGATAAATAAGAAAGAGAGATGAAGAAAACAAAGAGGTGGTGACACACAAAACAACCAGCTACCATGCTCCAGGGACAAGCGGTGGCATACATCAACATGCGAACACACCCATCCCAGACCTGACAGTGAAGCCTTGAGCTCAGTGCACATGCAGGCCATGTGTTGAATTAGCCCCATAACATGATTGGTCCATCCTTCATGTGTAGCCCCGCCCCTACTCCCCTGTCCGACGAACCGCTGGCCACTATCCCACCGGTCGCCATGGCGTTTGCCTCCCTTCTCTTGCAGCACCTGGAATGTCTGTGTGTCTGTGTTTGTGCCTGTCTGTGTGTGTCTGTGTCTGTGTGTGTGTGTGTGTGTGTGTGTGTGTGTTGCGAATACAATTTATTCTTAATCTCTTGCATTACGCTGCTGTCACTGTTTTCTGTGCTTAGCTTTGTTTTTATCACACTGAGTTGACATTTGCTGATTATTTGTGAATGTTAAACGAGCGCGCTCCCTCTGATCCTCTTTAACTGTGATTTAAACATGCACAGGGGTTTTTGGCTGAGTGCATAGATGCCCGGAGGGGCCAGGAGCTCCCTTGGGAATCCTGTTCTATAAATAACTGCCTCTCCCCTCTGATCCATGATCTTAGGCTGAGCAGGGGGCAGAGGGGGGGGGGATGAGAGGAGGGAGCGAGCGAGGGAGGGGCCGAGTGAGAGGATGATGGATGAATAGATGAGGGACAGGAGAGGAGACATTTCACCAGCTGCATTTGTGTTAGTTTTTAATTAGTTCAGCCAGATTTCACTGCATCCTGGCCGCTATAGGAAACCTCCCACTGCAACTAAAGGGGTTTTCGCAAAGTAAACACAATTTCCTTTTGAAAATCAACAGTTCAACAGAAAAACTGTAGCACCATTGTCCTTACAGAGCTGCAGATTTATGACTCATACTGTATACATTAATGAAACACAACATGATTTTAAACAGACATTTTAGACTTGAATTGGTCATTGTTTATTACTTATCAGTTTAAATATGAAATGACGTGTTTTTAACCAATTTTGATGACTCTTTAGAAGTTGTGCTTGAGCAGAAATCAATTGTATAACTTTAAATTCAGCCTGAATTCTCACCTGCTGGCACATACATGCAGCAGCAATCATTATGTTGTCATTTACAGTCAGCTTTGGAAATCCACATCTCCTCCGGTTGGCTCAGCATCATTATCTCACACCACATTTTAAAGCATTCTATCCTTGTAAGCTGTGCTCATTACTTCACAGGTTTCCTTCACCCTGCTGGGTGCTGCATGTCGCCCTGTTTACCTGCTGACGTTCACAAAGCTTTGTTTACTGTAAACATGCTTCAGAGGGGATGTTATGCAGAGAGCTTCTGACATGGTTCAAATGAAACGGTATATTGTTCTGTGGAACTGTCAGTGGGACTTGAAACAGATTTGTTTCCTATTTGCTATTAAAGCATTAAACTGCAATTTATAAATCTTTAAAAACTATCCAGAGCAGAATCTTACTCATTGAAAACAGTCTTGTGCTGTTTACAATCGAATACACTTACACAGGAACAGCTGATATGAATGGGCAAGCAGTAAGCTCTCATCCCTTTCTTATTAATTATTAATAAACTTGTATTAATTATTTTAGAAATATTGGTGGAACCTGGAGAAGAAACCAAACCTAATAGCTAAAGAAAAACAGGAAATATTTTACAGCACACCTGTAGCATCATGTTCCTGGTGACAGGTGTCATGGCCCCTTTGGTTTGCAGATCTTTTGGGATAATTATTTCAGCGCATAGTCCAACCACTTTTTTTTGTTTTTACAAATGACAGAACTGTGTCATTAAAATAGTTCAACACTGACTTAAGAAACAATCCATTGTACGTATTATTGTAAAGTTAAATGGATGGTGTCTTAAGTTAGATTACTGCGATTATGATGTAAATTCTGTAAGCTCATTAATGATAATTCCGCATTTAATGTTGCCTCTCTCTGGAGAATAATACAACAGCCACATTTAGAATCACAAAGAACACATAATCAAATCTCAACAATGGTTTAATGTTGAGTTTAAAGAATCAGTGTTCTGAAACATCTCTACATCCAAGAAGGTTTGATCCAAGGGCTTCTTCTTCATCGTATCATTTTAAAACTTTACTAAGTAGAAGTAAAATATTTGACTCTGTAGGCACTGAAATGACTTTGAAGAAAAGCATGAAGGCTTCAGTGTTCACAAATAAACACGTCGATTTATCGAAAAGGTTCCTAAAGACCTTTGAGTTTAGCCAACATCTCAACCTGCAGATGCTTATGGACATAAATGTTAAAGTGGCAGCATGTGTGGTTAGCCTGTGAGTAGCTGGTCTGGAGAGTGATTACACCACCTCCCTCTTCCTCTCCATCTCTCTCCCTCTGTGCCACCTGTACTTGCAGCCCCTCAGCTTGAGGATAAGTGGCTGTAATTAGTCACCCTGCTTTAGCCCGGCAGTGTGGCCATTGATCACCGGTCTGTGAGGGACCGGCAGTGTTTGCAGGAAAATAAAACTTGATTTAACTTTATTGTTGTTCAAGGAGAAACTTTGTTTGGCCCGGTTGCTATAACCTCCATACACTTACAACATTCTTACACCCAGATTACATAATAAAACACAATACAGAGTGTACACACATGCTGCACGTTGAAACAAAAAATGACACGATACAAAAGTACACAACATTGTTTAAACAAAGATGCTGATTGTTTGTGCAAGCATTCTTCCTGTGCTTGTTGTCGTGTTTGACGGTTGTACTGTTAATTCGTGGCTCCAGTCGAACAGCTTGGAGCAGTTGTTGAAACATTATTCAGATTAGGGCGACACAGTTTTGGTGAGCATTTTGGCTTTGGGGTTCTGTCCCTCATTTCCATTGGTTCAGGGCGCAACCTGTCACAGACACGATAGTGTATCGAGTGTTTTCGACCTTTTTGTCTCATGCATAAGAATACGGTGTAATGTCTGTGTTTGATATATTTCTTTGAACTAGCGCACTGATCTCTTCTTACCCCCAAAAAAGGACCAAAAATAGATTGCAGATAAATTTGTGAGATGCTATAGGATTCTTATGACATTTGTTACTAGTTTTCCCAGAAGTGCTGTATGGATCTTGCAGCTGATTGGGAAAGCATTTTTTTATTTTGTATATGTGTGGGTTGGAGCCCCATATGTCTGTGCAAACAAACAGCCTTTGTGCAGCCTGTGGCATGCTTATATAAATAGTGTGAGAGTGGGTTCTATAGGCTAGCACAGAGGCCAGCCGGAGCCCTATTAAGAACAAACTGGGATGGCGGGTCTGTGGACCCGCCACATGGGTGCAGTGGAAAAAAGGCGTTAATTGAAGGGATACTTCATGCATGTTTTGGCATCGTGGTGCTGGAATAGCTGGGGCCGGGGCCCTACCGAACAAAAGGTTTTGTTTGTGTGACCTTGATGTTAACTGGCCATTAAATATGTGAGTAAACAGTTGACAGGCATGTGTATGTATATGTACAGCGAATGTGAGAGACTGGTGTTGGGAGAGTTTACCATGGTTCAGTGGCTTTGTTTGGATAACGGGGGATGATTGGCACACGGTTCAGAGTGAGAATGGCAAACTTTGACATCCTCTAATGTGACCGTCTTTCTATATGCTTGTTTATGTGGAAGTGACAAACAAACAAACAAGTTTGTTGGTCAGAGGTCCAGGAGTCGTTTAAACACGCACATGTACACACAGAGACCTCATCTGTACATGCCTGAGTATAAAATATTACATTGATTAAACCACATAATTAAAGCTAAACAGATAAATAAATAGATACATTTCATCTTCTCAAAACTAAGCCATCAAAGAAAAAGTAGTAATTTCTTATTGTCCAGCTGTCAGACCGGTCCTCACAAGTGTGGTGATACACGTAACACACGTGCACACACACACACACACACACACACACACAAGCATCAGTAAAGCACCAGCATGTCTGGTCCGACCACACCCTTTCTCTCCTCCCTGCTGTCCCATTGGGTGGTGTTAAGTTTCCTCCTGCACTGAAAACCTGCCGGTACCAAAGATGTCATTGGCTATCTCAGCAAGCAACTCCAACTCCATCACAAACCTCATTGGTCACTGGAGAGCGACAGGACAGCCCTGATAGGTCAGAGTAGGCTCTCCACTGGTTTGAGGGGTATTGGTAACTGGCAGAGGGCTTGGCATGGTGCAAGGTGGGTCTCTACGGAACAGAAATCGACCAGATAGACTGAAAGATGCACTGGAGGTTTAGATCACAAGCACAAATTGAAATATTATCTGGTTGCATGAATTTGATTCGATCTGGTTTATCTTAAAATAGCTCAAATTAAACTATTTAAGCTCATGCTGCATACCAGCTCGTATTACACCACCCCGTTCGAAACTCAAAATGTAAGCCTGTCAGTATTTGAAAAAAAAAACAAACAAGATGTTTGATCCCAGCATGCAATTTTCCAGTTACATCACTGCCTTCAAGTTGGCAAATATTTAGTTTGCTTTCTTTTTTTCTTCCCGTTTCAGTGTTGTGAAGTTGTGTTCTACTACAGTTTGCGGATAAGCCTCTGTGTTGTTTGCTTGTTTTGGAGAAATAATCTGATTTCACTAATACTCTGGTTTTTGCATGTCAACCATGCTGAGGTCAGGATATTACTTTTCCTGTGTTTGCACTTAGTGTCCATCTTACAGCAGCACTACAGGCCTCTACTTCTCCGGATTATCAGATGAAGCAGAATACATTATACAGAATATATAAGAAGTATTCTTCCATACACCATAATGTATACATATTTGTTGTCTCTTTGATACTTCATGCAAGTGTGCCTCTCCTGCTGAAATGTTTTGACATTTCAGTGCTCATATTTGTTACCTTTCTTGTGTTTCATTGTTGGGTGTAACCATGTGCTTTTGTGCATTGTCTGTAGATTTATTTTTGACCACTGTAGTGTGGATTTTGTCATATTTCGTCATGTTTTTCTCACATTTGGAAATCCATCCTGTCCGACATGAGAGACAACTTGACCGTGGTGTACAGTAGGCTACACTTCAAGCAATAACTATATGCAAAACGTGGTCACTGTTCTTCTATATACAGTCACAGTGAAAGCACACACACACACACACACACACACACACACACACACACACACACACACACACACACACACACACACACACAGTAAGCCTTTATGCGTGTCAGCAAATCCCTGCTGAAAAACTCATGTTTCAGGGGATTGTTTTTGCTCTCCACTGCCATGTTTCATCATTCTACTCGCGTGTGTACGTGCATGTGTACTTGTGTGTGCTTGCGTGAGTTTATGTGTGCGTGCTTTCCTATCTTGTCATTTGTGTCCAGAAACTGTGTAAAGTACTATGTAGAAGGTATTTCTATAGATGTGTGTAAACAGTACCCTGAAGACATCAGTCAGAAAATGTCACCGTTGATCTCTGATATATATGATCTTCTAAAAATCATACACACATTCATTTTTTTATTTTAAGTGTGTTGCCATTGCCCTTACAGGGTTCAACTATAAAAAAAAAAAAAAAATCTTGGTGGAATGAATGAGTTCATGATTATTATTATTATCATTTTTTTCATAAAACCCCTAAATGTCTTTTAGCAGGTCTAAGGATCTTCAGCTCAACGCTGGAGTTAGAATTCCAAATTTTCCCATCAAATTTCCCTTTTCAAAACCTTAAGAGAGAACTGTTTGGATCATAGAAACTTGTTATTCATAGAGGCACAGTTTGTACCGTGTTTGACAGAGCAGAAGTTTGCATATTTTTGCTCAAATATTTATTATACAAAATGATTTGCATAATAAATAAGATTTGCATGTTGTGATTGGTCATGGTTTCAGCTGGTGGAGTATGTTTGTGATTCCTTTTGCAGTGAAAGTTTAGCCTGTTATTTGAAACTTCTTACAACATATTTGGTTCTTGAAGTCTCCGCTGTAAATACTTTATTGCTGCACGTCCTAAACGAACTCTTTATGTTTTTGTTTCCTCCTCTCTTCCATTCTATCTCTCCTCTCTCTCTCCCTCTCGCTCCCTTTCTGGCCCTGTCCTCCTCCAGTGGACGTGAGCTCGGCAGCACTGCCCATGCAGGTGCCCCCAACAACCACAGCCATCCTTCCCATGGACCTGCGCGTAGTGGACCACCATCACCACCACCAGCAGCCCCCCTTCGGCCTGGTTCCCCAACCCCATCCTACACCGCCCACCTCCACACCTTGTAATGCGGAGCCAGGCCGCGGGCCAGTCATAAGTAAGTTATCAGATCGTCATGAAATGAAATTGTCATGCCTTGGGATTAGAAGCCAGAATCCTTACCATATATAACATAAATGTAAATTTGGGTCACTCTTTATGATAAAGTCATGAAAATGTCGTTCAGACCACCAGCAACAGAAGCTGCAGCAGGAGCTGGTGGTTCTCAAACACAAGCAGCAACTCCAGAGGCAGATACTGATCGCTGAGTTTCAGAGGCAGCATGAACAGCTGTCCAGACAACATGAAGTCCAGCTGAAGGAACATATCCAGGTGAGCTCTCCTCTCCTCTCCTCTCCTCTCCTCTCCTCTCCTCGCCTCTCCTTGCCTCTCCTCTCCTCTCACCTCACTTTCAGCTCCCCCGTACTTAAGAGTAAGCTATTTCTGCACTATTTCAAAAGAATGTATTTCTTCTCTCTCCCTCAACCAGCACCAACAGGATTTACTGGCGCTCAAGCACCAACAGGAGCTGTTGGAGCACCAGAGGAAGATGGAGCAGCAGCATCATGAGCAGGAGCTGGAGAAGCAGCAGCGGGAATTCAAACTGCAACAGCTGAAAAACAAGGACAGGGGACAGGAAAGTAAGTAGACATTGCTGCTGTGCATTATTGTCTTTTGAGAAAGTAACCAAACCCTGTAGTACTGGGATGATGATGTGAAGCTGTAGGTAAAAAAAAAACTCCATCAAGTGCTTACATTCATTCTTTATTATGTCAATTCTTGGGGTATCATGAAATGCCCCTTTATCACTCAGAGTACTAGAACCTGTCAAGTTTATGTCACGAGAAAAACAGAACATATCGATCTAAAACAATTCAGAATTCTGTTGTTAACAAAAATACAAAAATAGTATAATTCCAACTAGATGATGTAAAAGATAGAAGCCTTAGTTTTCTGTTGGTAAGGGATTGCTGAATGCTCCGGGTACTGTGGTTTTTAATTTCCATCAATTTAAACAAGATTATGCACACAACAATCTCCTAGGCTAATGGTACATATGGGAATCAAATGACATCATCAAGGCTCAGCTTTTTGTGTGTGACCATTGAAAGTGTTATGTAAAATAAAAACCTGACAGGATGTTTGTTTTATAAGGGTTAAAGAATACAATTCAATACCTGGCAATAATGTAATGGCATCATTTTAAATCGCATCTAACAATTTTGTGAGTCAATGAAATCATGGTGATTTACAAAAGCACATTAGTATGCCCGGAGTAATTTTAACTGAATAAAAGTGAGTGATCATTTATGATCTCTAAACAGGATTGGGTCAGCATTTCAGGGGTTTAGTAGTAGTGACGTAAACTGGCTCTAAGTAAGCTGTCAGGTTTGACCTCATATCGCTTCACCTCACATCCCCGTCAGTGCTGCCAACATCAGTCATACAACTTGTCCCCAACAATCTGCTGAGCCTCATTATATCAGCAGGTGTCAGAGAGACGTGGCCCCCTGCAGACCCTCTGTCACAGCACCAATCGTTGTGACCCATCAGTCAGAACGGCCTGACCTCACACCTCTACCTCAAGGACTTAAAGACTATGAGAGGGGGGGAAAGAGGTTCTATTGGAAAACATGACCCTTTTTCCCAACGAGTTCTGGATTCGTGGTGTCATTTTGTTGGAGAAGCAAAATGGCAGCAATGAATTCAACCTTCTCCTACCTCCTAAATATGTTTATTTTTTCCTTTTTAAAGGTCCTGTGAGGAGTTTTTAGCTGGTTATGGAACAGACTGAAAATCATAGTGATGCCTCTATATAACCTACTAAAGCAAACCAGACCATGAGCAACAAGATAGATCATTTCAATCAATCAATAAAACTTTATTTATATAGCACCTTTCAGACAAATTAAATTGCAGTTCAAAGTGCTTAACAAGAGTGCAGAAAGGTTATTGAAGAAAAGTAGTTTATAAAATCATTGAGAGACCAATGCACACCAATAAGAATTAAACATACAATATGATAAAATACGACACATAAAAGCACCAAAATATTAAAATAAATACATAAGAGGAAAATATTTAAAATTGTAGTAGGATAAAAAGACAATACAGTAATGTTAAGATTTGAATTGATATAAAACACTATATAAAAGCCAGACTGAATAAATGAGTTTTAAGACTGCGTTTAAAAATCTCGATTTCTGTTTACAAATGTTTCAAGACGTGTAACCATTGCCGTGTCATAGGTGCCAGGCAACTTAAGTTACAGCATATTGCAGAAGCAGCTTTTGTGAATTTATTTCATGGCAAAAATTCACTGTGAGTGATGCATTCGACTGTTAAAAGTAAGTAGAATGAGACTTTTCATCAGAAAACACAACTATCTGTGACGTGGTTTTTCATCACACATTCTATTTAATGTTGTTAATGATGGACACCAATTGGAAATCATGATTTTATGCTAGTAATGTCTCGTTCCTAAAACGTGGTCTGCTGGGCAACATGAGCTTACAGTTTGACGTCCATGGAAAGTCCATTGAGTCGTAAACAGAGGAAGCTTTGTTAAAGCACTGCTATAAATTGCGTGAAAGGCAGTCTCATAAAAAGCCAATTTGCTCCAGTGGCAAAGCAGACATATTGGGATGTCAGCACTTCCAGTTGCAGCATGATTTAGAGAGCACATATTAGCTCGTGTGACTTTCTCATACTGTACTCATCACTTCGTTTCTCATACTTGACACATCACCTGTTAGTCATATTTTTAGAAAAACACACCTGGAATGTTTTTTTTTTTTTCCTCTGCATCTTTAAAACATTTTTTTTTCCCCCTCACACACTGCCACACATCCCCGTCTCTCTCCCTGGATGATCAGTTTGTAGTCACAAAATAAAGGCGGTGATTCAGAAGACACTGGTATGAGAGGAACATTCGCTAAAGATTAGAGTTAAATAGCTCGACTGTTATCTCTGGGGAAATCTAGTGCAACTCTGAGGCAAAATGTGCGCTCTGCCTTTAGGGAAAAGAAAATCATTGTCTAACAAAGAATGAATGGATGACGATATAATCATCAGGTTAGGGCCAATTTGTCAGGTAGTGCAGTAGAGAAACTGAAGCTGTAACATTTTCATGAATACAAGAAAAGAAAGTATTTTTATGTGAAGGGTTTGAAACAGGTGAGCAGTACATGGAATAGTATACAAACATTTTGTTTCTGACCTCCCTGTGTGTCTCTGTGTCTCTGTTTCTGTCAGGTGCAGTCGCCAGCACAGAGGTTAAGATGCGACTGCAGGAGTTTGTCCTGAACAAGAAGAAAGCGCTGGCTCATCGAAATCTAAACCACTGTCTGCCCAGCGACCCACGCTACTGGTATGGGTGAGTGTCACAGCCCACCCCTTCAGAACAACGTACTGCTTGAGATGTGACCGCTTGAACACCAATAAGGGTTTTTCTACCATCTTATATTAAAAAAAGAAAGCACATAAACGTGCATATCCTTTGTGTAGAATTGTGTTTAAATTAAAATATGATGTATGTGATGTGAAAGAATGAGCCCAATGAGAGGTGGGCTTTCCTGCACTACACGTGCAACTCACTTATTGTTCAACCTTAACTGCTTCAAATTATTAATATCTATTACAAGGTAAAAAAAAAAAAAGCATGAATTTTCATGGTACATTTAAGAAAAATAGAACGCATACAGTACATTTACATTTCTATACAATCTTAAAAAAAGCTGCCTTAGAAATAAAGCAGACAACATCCTGCGTTTTGTACCCTAACCTTTAAGTAACCTCAAATGTTTCCATTAATTTGCATAGGGGGACAACTAGAGAGTTTAGAAAGTATTTCTTTTAGATAATTTCTTAACAGTCACATATTAGCTTTTGTTTTTTGTTATATTCATCAACCTTTATGTTGAACTAAAATGTTGTCAAACTTGGAACATGTTATTCTCAAAGGTTAGGTGACACCAAGGTCCCTTTTTACCAGGACTTTAAAAACATGACTAACTATGGTATCTTCAACTCCTGTGCTTTGGTTGTCTCTGTAAGAGTTAAGACGTCAGCCTCTGTGAGAGTCCTCACCAGTTGCCTTTGAGGGAAACTAAAGAGAAAATGTTGAAGGAATGAAGCATTTTCAGTCAATGTTTGTAGTCCTTGATTGACAGCTGGTTGTCTTTGAGGTTTGTGTGTGTGTGTTTGTGTGTGTGATGTGTTTGAAGTGGGCAGAGGAGGAAGAAAAAACAATGGCATCACTCCTGCGCTTTAAATATTTGAAGAGGCTTTAAGCAGCCAAGCATTTCTGCCAAGGCAGGAGATGAAAGAAGAATCCAAACAGAGAGGAAAAAATGTCTCTCTATCAGCGTCATAACCATCACTCTTCCATTAACAAGAAAAAAAAAAAAACCTCTTCTACCTGTTTGCTTTCTCCTCAGATCTTCAATACATCTTTCCCCTCCTTTGGTCTCATTCCTCCATTGATTCTGTGTCTCACAGCTTCTCCATCTCTGTCTGTGCCTTTTTCACCCACGTTTAGGAGGAAACAGACCTCAGCTTCTTTGCTGTCATGATGTATTAAAGACAAGCAGAGGAGGCTGTCAGTTATTGTGTCTCTATCCGAAATCTCTTTCTCCATTCTAGCCACACTGTTGTACATTTTCTCTGTCTTTCAAATATGACCTTGGGATGGTCGATGGAAGTTTTCTTTTGTCTCTAAACCTTTTCTGTCTATTGAATGTATAGGGAAAAAAGCTTGGTTAGCATCGTTGAGCCAAAGCTGATTTGAGATGAATATTTTCAGTAACTATTGATCATTTTTCTTTGTAGAAAAACCCAGCACAGTTCATTGGACCAGAGCTCTCCTCCTCAAACAGCTTTGTCAGCGTACAACCATCCGATGCTGGGCACATACGACTCAAAAGATGACTTTCCTCTTCGGAAAACAGGTAAAAAGATTTTTTGCTGAGGAACTGTTACTTTCTAATGTCCGTGTCCTTCCACCTTTTTTTTTTTAAATAAATCAACCCTTTCATGTCTTGAAGGGAGCCCTAATCTTCCTTTTCCCTGCATTAGCAACTGAAATGGCTTATGGGGTTTCCAAATCTGGCACATGAACCAAGAGTCAGCCACTGGAGGATTAAAAGGAGCCCCTAAAATATATTTAAAAGGAGAAATATCAAAGGTTATTTAAAGCTGTCTTTTTTTTAAACTGTAATTATGCAAATGGTTGCAGATGGATGGAGAGTGGAACCACTCTCAATTAAAAACCAAAAACTCTGAATCAAACTGGAAAGGAACAGTTTCACATTTAGGGAAATATGTGTGTTAGTTAGTCAGTCATACAGTATTTAGAACTGTCACGTCTGTGTGGTAAATATAGCTTCACCATCAGTCTGTTAGCTTAGCTTAGCTTAAAGACCAGAAATAGAAGACAACAGCTAGCATGTTTTTTGTCTTAAATCCTAAAAACAGGAATTTTTGCGCTTCGTAATTACATTTTTGATCTTGTTTTTTAAATCTTTACAAGAACACGATTTCTTCACGCCCCTGAGTCCTCTTAATGCTAACTTTCTACTCGCTTTTATACCTTCTGTTTGCTGTTGGAAGGGCTCTCTACTGCTGGTATTGTCATTGTGTGTCATTATTTACATACCGAGACATTAAGCATCCAATGAAATGAAACGTCTTTGATTTTATTGACCCATTGAGAGGTGAAAGATTCAAAGTAGTCTCTTAAACCAATGGATTAAGAGGATTGGAGCTTGCCTAAACTCCAACATCAGCCATCATTGATGAAATGCGGAATGTGTCTGCTTTAGTGAAATAGCTTTAAATGAGTTTAATGTGAGGCTAGTGTAGAAAGTTAATTTCTCCTGGTTTCGAGGTGTAACAGTCAGTGGTGTTAGCATTGTCTGGAGCCTGAAATTACTTACTTCATTTCACCCTTTTGCATCACTATCATGATTTACATTTGAATAAAAATAAGTTGCCTGTTCTCCTTTAGCCGACTAATTCTCTCAGACCTTAACCAATCCATGCAGTAATAGTCCTTTATAGACGTCATAGATTATGCAGTTGATGCAAACAACCCTCGTCTGCTCTGAGAAGCAACCTAGAAAGCTCAGAAAAATCACAGTTCCTGTCTTTTGGCGGCGTTAGACTGCTGTTTTTCCATCCTTCTGTCCATGTCTAGTCCATCCAAGCTGTGATTGTTCACTTAGTGTCAGCAGCTGCTTTGGCAGTATCGCTGCCTGCTTTCACAGCTGGAGACCGAGCTCTGTGTACTCTGCACTCCTGCCCACCTGCAGTGACCTGGAGGCAGGAACGATTTATCCTGGCAAACAACCTGAGACAACCAGTTTCAACTTTCACAGACACTCAAATGTAATTCAGACATTTCTTGGGGTGCCAGTTGTGCTGAGAAATATTTGCAACATACAGCTTCACATTTCATACTCCCACAAAGTACAACTGGCACTATAGCACGGACAAATCCTCGCACATATTTAAAGAAAATTTCCAATTTCAAGAACAATGGAGTTTGACATTGAGGGCAGAGTTTTTTTCTGCCTGCTATCGAGGGGGAGCCAGAGGAAACACTGATGTGTGCACACAAAAGGCAAGCCTGCTGAGGAGCTCTTGTGTCAACAGTGAGCAGGCAGAGATCAAATCAGACTGTCAGACAGGGAGATGAACTGTTCTCGGAGGGAAGTGAGTGACAGTAGTCACCTCAGTTGTGTGTGGCTCTGACGACTGGAGGGCGTCATACTGACGTTTTTTGCCTGTGATGACCCATTTCAGTAATGTATGCGTGTAAATTATAGATGTGCCTAAATAATTCTTTTTCTGTCTACCCAGGCCAAGCTCACAGTTTATAAGAACAGGGGCTCATTGTCCACGTCTGAGAAACTCTGTGATAATGACTCTTAGAACACAGAGGGTCACTTTGAATGCTGCGGCAGGAAGTCTGTCAGGCCTTCATGACAGACGCAGACTTGTCATGCTGACCCCTCTTTCAATAACTAGCACATACACATACTTTGTCATTCTACACTGTGCACTGAACATTGAAATCCTGCAGGATTTCCACATACAGCATAGCACTTCTTTGTTCTTGCATTACATTTTAGCACTCCTATTCAGCTCAGAGGACAGTGTCTGAGATTATAGATTAATGTCTCTTTCAAAGACACTAGAACATATTGGTATATATATATATATATATATGATGTGTATATTGAATGTTCATATCTCCATAATGATGATATTGCCATTCACAGCACAGCTGTATTGAATACTTCAGTTTGTTCCAATTCTAAATCACCTGTGTGAGGAAAGCTTAAAGTCAATTAATGGGGAAATGATAGTCAGTACATCGAAATGATTTTATTCTTCATCTTGTGAGGGGGTCATTGCAAAAAATGCAAACAACTGTCTTAAAAAGTCACAATCCAAGGCACTGTTATGACCAGCTCGTCTAGGCTATAACAGACAATGGATGTCCACACAGTAAACTTGCATTCAAAGTATATTTTATTTCATACAAAACCAAAAAGACCATGGCAGAAGTTTGTCAGTCTTGGCTGTCCAGAGGGAGAGAGAGGGAGCAAGAAAGCTGTGGCAGCCTGGCTTATATGCCTTTCCACTATAGGATTTTTGTAGAATCTTAATTTTACATAGAAAAATATGTTTGCATCCTACTCAGGTGTATTGATGGTCATCACGATTTTACTAACATATTTATTTATTTATTTATATTTGGAAAAGGGCTATTAGGAAATATATATACTTGAAAACACCATGCTTGATCAATAACCTTGCAGAAAAGAGAGTGACAAATTAATCAAAAGGATTTGTTTTATTTGCACTCACATCTGAATATGTTAATGAGACAGGTCTGTCTCTTCTTCTGTGTTACTTACCTTCTCCTTCTCTGCAGCGTGTCCTTCCAACTGCCGCTCTAATGTACTGTCATATATGATATTTCTGGGAAGCTCCCCTGATGAGTTTCAGAAAACTACTCTGTCCATTTCCGTAAATCTTCCCCCCCCCCGTCTTTGCGCTTACTCAGAAGAACGGCCCGGCATCCCCCAGCAGAGAGCTCAGGACTCCCATCAGACAAAACAGATGAGCAACTGATCAATATGTTTTGTATCAGAGAGCCAGTTTCCTCTTGCACCACCTATTGAAAGATTAAGCCCCACTTATAGAGACGTTTAATATGATATTGATATATCAGAACATGGGTGAGGACATTTCTACGGTTCTAGTGGCTTCTTTGAAGTGTGTGCGAGGATCACGACAAGTTGATTCAGGAGTCCTGTTGGGGGTTTTCACTTCCTCGCCTCAAAAGCCTTTCCAGCCACTCGGGGTTTATGTGGAAATATCTTTTTTAATGTTGCTTTTATGATGACAGGACTGTGGCCTGTAAAGACCCAGGTAATTTTCTTCCTCTGCAATGAATTAAGCTCAGAATCGATCACAAAGTCTGAATAAAAGTGATTTTTTCTTTTTTGTGCCATGCGGAAGGAGGACATTGATGTTTGGTTTAACAAGACAGAATGTTCAATAATTAAACAAAATACAGAGAAAAGCTCAACAGTGAAGGAGAGAGGCACTAATGTTGGAGTTGAGGGAGAGAGAGAGCGGAGGGGATGGTTGGAGGTGAAGCAGGGAGAGAGGGTTTCAGTAAAATGCCAGCCTCAGCAGTTAAACCAGTCTGGGCCCTCTGCAGTGAGTGTGTTCGCACGTGTGCACACTGGTGTGCTTTTGCCCAGTCGGCATTAACACCCTTCAAAGTCACTGCGTCCGGAGGTGAACACCCCCGTGGCGGCCTGTGCCCACAAACACACCCTCCTACTCCAGCCGCCTCCTCTGTCTCCTTTCCTCTCCTCCTCGCCTCGATGTAACCTTCCGTTCATCCTTCCATCGCGCTTCTCTCTCACTTCTCCTTTGATCTGTTGATCTGTCCATTTCGTAATGACTCAGGATGCAGCAAAACAACCTTGACCACCCCCTCCTTCATTCCACCATTGTGTGCCTTGTCTCTCCTCCACATGCAGCCCATCAGATTAGTCCAAAGGCTGCAGCCCACTCTCAATACATCATCACAGTGGAGCCAAAAAGTGTTTCCTGTGACACCTCGGAAATGTTTTGAAAGCTTAACAAAACATGCATGGCAGGAAATCTGTCTTTTCAAACTTGACGATAGCTATTTTAACATCATTGACCATTATTGAAGTGTTTTGTTAAACAAAAAAAAAAAAACATGGTGGTATTTAATCTAATTTCAGCCAGTTCTCAGTTCTTAGCTTTGTTAACTGTTCTTAACACAAACAAAATGATTGGTTTACCTTAAGGAGGATTAAGGCACAATCAATCAGGTGTTTTTACACACGCACAAAACTCCTGAAAATATCCCAAAATTGTTCATATTTTTCACACCAACCACAGCCAGAATTATTGTTGCCAGCCTGAAAGTGAAATTTTATGTTCAACCTCTTTTGCTATTTCCGCCATTTCTTTGTCGCCTTTTTACGTCTTGTCCTGCTTCCTGAGAGGCAAACTGAATACTTGTGTGCACTTTCTTTAAACCTATCAGCATTTCCAACATTCATGTGATGTCTTTGACTTAAATAACCCTAAAGAGAGAGACAGTGAAGTCTTTGATTTAATGATAGCTTTATGTCACTGATTGCCTCAAAAGATCTACTATAATTCCCAGTTCAATGGACTAAAATAGAACTTGAATGGCTTTTGTTCCTTCTCAAAAAGGCCTTCATTGTCTTCCTGTCTTCTCATATTCAGCTAATGCATTTCTTATCCTGACCCATCCATCCCATCTTCTTAACATAGTCTTTGAAACAGTGCCCTCCATTTAGAGGAAGCTCCTTTTTAAATAATTGAGTTTTCATAAGATCAGCAGCATATTTCCCTTATTATTATTATTTTTGAAATAGCATTGAAAGTACTCAGACATTATAGATAGATGACCAGAGGTATGTACAGTATAGTTCCTCCTTGATGCTTTCTGAAGTACACTATATCTTTGTGTATCTTTATCACCTTGATTTGCAGTCAAGGCTAAAGGAAGCAAGGGCCTGTGGCTTTGTAATGACATTAAAGAAATCTTTTTTATGTGTTCTTTATTTAAGTTTATAGTGTAGCATACAAGATTAAAAGATCAAGTATTTCCATTTTTTCCTCCAAATTACACAAAACAAGTTTAAAAAAGGAGCCTCAAAACACAAGAAAAAAACAAACAAGAAACAAGATATAACCTATAAACCAATTAAAATCCACCTGTGAAGGCTTGATAATCAGCTCAGTGAACATTTATAGTTCAGCCATCTTCCTGTCACAATATCCATATAAGTGGGACATATAAGAAGACAGCAGACTAGCTATATGAATAGTAACCACCTTGTTTTCTCATTCAGAAGGTAAAACAAAAAAGGAAATGTCAGGTTGCCATTTCTTATGAATATGTTCATTATATTCTATGTGTATTCTCATTTTATGAATACATCTTCTAACAATAAATCTATTCAGTACACAAAGTGGAATTAGTTAATGAGGCTTATGAAGCTAGCGTTGGTCTGTTTTATAAAAGGTCGTGGAATGAGCAAAGGGTCAACCATTGGTCAACCATCCAGCTTCAAATAATTGAACGGAAGGAAGCCAGTGGAGGAGAGAATAAAGCTGCCTGTGTCTGGCAGTGAGACACTGAAGCGTGATTGGCCAGAGAAGGTCAGGTCCTATCCCTGACCTGATGAGATTCCTAGAACACATTGAATGCTCGCCTCTTCTCCTCCCTGCACTGTCGAGAGCTTATACAGCTCTGCGTCAAATCCATTAAGGGGGCATGTGTTTAGAGCCCTACGATGAGAAACAAGACAAACATATATCCATTTCAAATGCACATGTACACACATGACAGCAGCTGGCTTTTTTATTGTAAATGAAAGTGTCTGATAATAAACAGTGTTCATTAGCAGAGCATGGTGGAGGCAGCATCATTAAGCACAAGGTCAAGAAAGCTGCCAGTTGGCGCTTCAGCATTCACTGCAGCGCTTCCCACTGTCACACAGTGATGGCAAACCTCAGCTCCCTGATCTGTCAGCCAACACATACAGTGTAGCCTATAGGGACAAGCTCATTAGCCCCACTACATGTCCGTGAACAAGCTCCCACTTGTGCGGCTCAGCAATCTACTATAATGCTAAGTACCAGAGTGACAGATCAGATAGAATCTGTAATTTTCAAATGAATGGGGCTAATTTGGAGTATAACACATACACATTTTTAGAAAGGGTGGCCCAGTTGGAAAATCACATGTATTAACCCTGCCATATGTTTTGCTATATCTGCTACATATTTGTCAAATGGGTTCAGATAAGCTCCATTTGAAGTAAAAAAAAAACAAAAAAAGGCTGACAACCGTTTTTGTTTTTTAACTTTCAATGCTGTTTAGCTCATGTGTGAAACTTCATCAACTTTCTAGTTAATCTTCCATCTTTTCCCTGTTTCTCTCTTCTGCCTCTTCAGCCTCTGAGCCCAACTTGAAGCTTCGTTCCCGCCTAAAGCAAAAGGTGACAGAGCGCCGCAGCAGCCCTCTGCTCCGAAGAAAAGACAGTCCCATCACTACTGCCAAGAAGCGTTCCTTAGACGTGGCTGGTGAGCACCCTTGTCTCTGGATTTCTTGTGGTTTGATATATCTGTTGTTCACAATATTTTAAATACTAAAGAATTAATTTAGTCCAGCTACATTATTTTTGGTTTCTAAAATATTTAAGTCAAATAACTACATAAATGCTATCATCATCGACTTAAGGAAGGGTTTGAATGCAAAACAGAGTCACATCCATTTACTGCTGTGTTCCTAAACTGTAGAAGGATTATAACGAAACAAGGACAAGGCTTACAGAGTTATATTTCATTTCAGAAGGTTGATTGACCCGGGACACTGTGTTCTAATTAAAATCTTATTTCTGTGTTGTGCGTGTTATAGAGTCAGCATGCAACAGTGCTCCGGGCTCAGGTCCCAGCTCCCCAAACAACAGCTCCACTAACATCCCCAGTGAGAATGGAATCACCATCTCCAGCAGCCCAGGAGAGGTAACCAGCATTGCAGCTAGTGTCAGCATGTGTATGGCTGGTGTACCATTGCATGTGTGTATTAGGCAGATTACCAGGGGACCTCAGAAGGACATTGGCAATGTCTCTCTACTGTATTTTAATTGAAAGGCTCAACCTCTGTCATGTATTTTTGTGTGTGTCACTGTTTTTACTTTGTGTCTGAACTCAGCGGGTATTTACTGTAATACTGTTCTGGTTCGTGATTTCAGGCGTCGCTGCTTCACAGGTTGGCTGCAAGGGAAGGCTCCCTCAGCCATCTCTCGCTCTACACCTCCCCTTCTCTGCCCAACATCACCCTGGGACTGCCAGCCACAGGCCCTGCTAGCACTGTGAGTACACTCAATAGATTTTATTCTAATTTGTATGGCATAGCATCAATAATCACAGCAAAAAATGTTCTGTATGAGAAACACTAAATGTTCCCTTGAATCTTTTAAAGTAGTGAAATTCTAAAGACATACGCTATCAGTATTTTTACTGATTGGTTTGTTTACTGCAGACTTTTATGTACTGCAATTTCAGAGTTTTTAAGAGCCAGGTATAAAACAAACAAAAAAAAGTTGTGAATCCTTTTGACATGTCATTTTTCTCTGTGTTTCGGTCTCGCTCCATCTCGCTTTCATTCTGTTTCATTTCGTCTCTTTCTTTGTGTCTTAATATCTCGTTCTCTTCTCCTAGTTGGTCTCAGGGCACCAAGATGGCGAGGGTCGCCTGCAGTTGCCTGCATTACAGCAGGGCATTTCTCTGACTGCTCCGTTCCTGCCCACTGCCCACCTGCCACCTTACTTGACAACGACAGCTCTGGATAGGGAGGGGGCAGGAGGGGGCACGGCTGGTCACAACCCACTTCTCCAACACATGGTGCTGCTGGAGCAGGGCCACAATGCAATGGGTCAGTATGCACTGCAACATTTATTTTCTGTACAGGCGGCTGTAGCTTAGTCGTCTCTCGACCGGAAGGTCGGGGGTTTGATCCCCAGCTCCTGCAGCCACATGTCCAAGACACTTAAACCAAAGTTGCTCCAGTCGGTAGCATGTGTGGTTGGCTATTACTGATGGACACTTTACATAGCAGCCTTTGTCATGAGTGTGTGAATGTAAGTTCTCAGAGTATTAGAAAAGTGCTTTACAAGCTCAAGTCCATTTACCATTTACTTACCGCTGTTATTAGCTGGTGTCTGATTAAATGCTTGTGGACATGCGGATCACAAAAACAATTTCATGCCATTTTATTATCGAGTACTTTGTGTTTTTGCTCTCAGGAAATCCACATTTCCCTAATTTGACATAATGAATGCATGTTCATAAATTAACCTTGGTAAGATGGCAGTGTAATTTAGCTTGAATGGCTTACTGTGTAAAAGTGCTAAAAAAGCATCTGCAAAACTTTTGAAATCTGTAGGTTTTTGAAGAACCTTGTTGTGATGAAGACGCATTTGTTGATATGATTTAGGTGGTGAAGAGTACCAAAAGGTGAAAGTTTGCATTGGCCTCCTTGTTTCAAAACTAAAGAATCAATGCCTAACTTATTTAAAATTGCTCCCCTTTGTACTCTCTGCTTTTACCATAGTTGGCCTGGGTGGCCTTCCGATACCGTCACCTGCTGTCTCCAAACTTGTGCGGGGCCACCGTCCCCTGGGAAGAACCCAGTCAGCCCCCCTGCCCCAGCAGCAGTGTGGGCAAGCCCAGGCCCTGCAGCAGCTGGTGGTTCAGCAGCAGCACCAGCAGTTCCTGGAGAAACACAAACAACAGTTCCAACAGCAGCAACAGCAACACATCATCAACAAGGTAGCTCAAAGTGTGTGTGTGTGTGTGTGTGTGTGTGTGTGTGTGTGTGTGTGTTGGAGCCATAAGTACAGGTGTGTTTGTGTGCATGTGACAAGAATAGGATCTAATCATCATCATTTAGTGAGCTAGAGGAGCTGACTTTACTGTATGCATGCATGCAAATGTATTCAGCAGCGTGTGTGTGTGTGTGTGTGTGTGTGTGTGTGTGTGTGTAGGAGTATTTGTCCATCGACACGACACTGATTTGCTTAATGTCTGTGAATCCTGTCTTTGCACCAAAAGCTGGATGAATCAGCCTGCAATCAGCAAGTCTTCTAGCAAGTCTTTCTTGTGTGTGTTCCCTACTTCTCTCGGTCACCCTGGCAACTGTGCTCAAGAGGAAGCTGCCTCCATATATGGCCACACAGGAAATGTGACTCACTGCATCGTTACGAGTGTGTGTGAAAGTGTGTGTGCGTGCGCGTGTACAAGGTGATGAGGGGATTTGCAGCATTATAAGGTCATTGCAGAGAGGGAGATGGTTGTTTGTGTTGTCTGTGTGTTGTTCATCCCTGTATGTGTGTGTCGTTGAAATTCCTGTTGGATTTAGCTCCATTACTTTGTGCTGTCGGGTTGTAAGTGACTGCTTGTTCTTTGACACTTCAGGCTGTTGTGACTTCAACTGATTAAGTCAAGCTTTGGTGTAATACCAGGTTATTAAAGTGTTACATTCATTTGTGTTAAGGGTCTTAAGCAGGCTGCTCAATGTCACAATAATGTGTTTGCATTGTGAATTGAAATAAGAATCTGTGCTGTAACCAAAACTATTAGTATTTTTATATTCTAATATTTAAGAAAGGAAGCTTACTTCAGTACTTTTCATTGCTTTAGTTTTTGGATGCACATAAAACAAACATCCTGTATCTTAAGTGAAAATGCAGTAAACCCTGTTAACCGTTAAGGAATACCTCCAATTATTGTGTGCATGATATGGCCTCTTTTTTTTTAAATTCAATGTGTATGTAAAACAGGAATCCTCATTCAATTCAGTGTACCATAATCATACTGTAGACCACTCATGATGAATCCATGTTAATTCATTATTTTCTGGCGGACATTCTACTTGGATATCAGCCACTTAATACATAAATGCTCGACGCAAATCTGGAGAAATGAAATGCAGAGATTCCACAAATGTAATATTGGCTTATAAATTACAAGTAATGTTTGCCTGCTGCCTGCTTGAATTGTATTCCTCTTCAATTTAGAAAATCATCCAATAAAATCTGGGCGCAGAGAAGAGTGGCTTACAGACAGTGACAGCAAGGCCAATATTTCACGGGCAAAAGACGTGTTCACAGATAACAAGGGGCAAAACTTTGGCACTTCCCTCAAACAATTAGTAATAAAATATCAACTGGAATGCATCAGAGGTTGCTAAAATAAAAGACTGGATCATCCTCATTTAAACATTACACTTAAAATATGCAAGGTTCACAAGTTGCATCACGACTCTGAATCGAAGGTGTTGTTTAATATTGTTATAAATCATTGAGGATATCTGCTGTGTGGCATATAGTGGCATCAGTGGGAAGCCCTTTGTCTTTACATAAATGAACCAGGTTTGAGTCTGTCGACCAGCTGAGGACTCTCTCTCTCTGTTAGTATGGTTTCCTCCTGCTCCTGCTTTGATTCCTCTCAGAATGCCTATAGGTGGGGATACTGTTTTTTTTTTCCCTAAACAATGAGTTTACAAGGCTCTTCCTCTGCCTGTGCCCTATTTTTTGTTTAATACTTTTGTAACTACTTTAAGTTGCATTTAAAGCTTTTACGTTGATGCGTCAGTTCGTGTCATTATCCCCACGTCTCCCTTTTTTAATTAAAGGCAGCAATCCTGCTTTTAACAATTTGTAAATGTTCACTTAACGTCACTAAAAAGCTGTAGCTGTGAAGAGACAGAACGGATTGTGGTTGTTGCACATTTCTGTCGAGCTTCAAAAGGTCATTTGGATTCAATGAGCAGCATCATTAAACAGTGCTGTAACTTGTCTTTTAATATAGGAGTATCACTCTCAATATACCTGCTTTATATTCCACCCAGAATACCCAAAGAACTCATTTAAGAGATCATTTTGGCAGTGTAATCTTGTACTATGCAGTTTGAGAGCACTAATCCAGCACTTTTGTGTTCCTGTGTTAAAGCACAAAAATGTGATTACTCAAGTATAAGCTGGCATGGTTGTGTTGCATCATAGCAGCACAGATGATGCACAGCCAAAGTATTTGCACCGTAACTTGCCAATCTCCAATTAATGCAGCTATTTGTGGCGTGCACTTACAGTAAAAAGAGCAACAGCTGCTAAACGGGTTCTGACAGTCGCCCAAATGCAGCTGTCTCAAATACATGTCAGTTTATCCTCCCCTGTAGCGAAATCCAATTGACTTTCTTTGACATGTATTGTGTGTCTTTCTAAAATTATTATTCTGCTCCTCAGTCATGAAGGATGATTTACATAAGTCCAATTTCTTACATACAATAACTGTGATTAAATTACATGTCCATGTTGCTTTGATTTAACTCTTTAATTCTTTTTTGAACAACAAAGCATGATGGGAATGAGGAAGTAACAACCAGAAATATGTTTGATTGCTGAAAAAAGTCAGGTTCTCAGGAGGAAAACATTGAAAGTTCATTTTCTATTTAACATGAGGCAATGCATTTTTTTTTTCTAGATGAATTTTTGAGCGTTTTGTGCCTTTATTGGAGATATAGGACAGTGGATAGAGTTAGAAATTAGGGAGAGACTTGCGGGAAAGGAGCCTCAGGTCAGATTTGAACCGGGGCTGCCCGCTTGAAGGACTACAGCCTCCATAAATGGGGCGTGCGCACTAACCACTGCGCCACCAGAACCCCCTGAATTCCAGTTTTTTAATGGCAACATCAGTAAAATCAGAGTTGCACTTAAATGACATAAAATGTTAAGACTTCAAAACTTAGATTCCCTGAAGGAATTTGAGTATTTGGTGAAAGGTTTTGAGCCCAGGATCTCTGTGTGTAAATGTTTTATCTTAAACAATAATGTTACTTTTACCTACAGTATGTGGTTTTTACTGATTATTGTTGTAAGTATTTGTTTTTGCAATTCTTGCCCAGGTATAAGAGTCAGTCCTATTTTAAAACTCCTGTGAGGTTTTTTGGGTGTGTTTTTGCACCCCCTGTGGAGTAAATGAGTATGTCTTAACTCTTTATTGTTATCTAACAACAATCTCATCCTGCTTCCTTTTACCAGTAAAACAGTGATGCACTCACTGTGAAAAATGTAAACAAATGCTGTTTCTGCCTGCCAACTACCTCGCAGCTCCAGTTAAAGGTATTCAAAATAACTTCATAGAAATAATCAATACTCCAGTGTTTCCCCTAGGTTTACAGCATTGGATGGGGGGGGAACACACGGACACGCGGACACAAACACCTGAAGGAATCTTGGTGTTCATACGTTACTTTTAATGACAGCTGTCCATTTCTATCGGAAAGATATCCTTAAATGACTTCTTTCCCCGATTTCTGACTCTATCCACTATCCTATCTCTACAATAAAGGCCCAAAAATAAATCTTAAAAAAAAACAAAAAACATTTTTTTTACTTGACCGTCAAGGGTGGCGGGGGTGGGCCGTTGGGGGGGGCGGGCCGCCCCCCTAATATAATGGTAGGGGAAACACTGTACTCTCACTGATGTTCTTGTTTGCTTTTGTAGCTCATCAAGGACATCGGTATCACTTCCAGTCTGTTTACTAACCAGCGAAATAAACTCCTCACAGGAGCTTTAATAAAGGTAAATACGGATAAGTAAAAAAAAAAAAACCACAAACCAATCTTTACAAATGTACCCGTGGTGTTTTCTTTTAATTTATTCACCAAAGGACATCCATCACTTTGTCATAAATGAATCATCCACATCCCTTCTTTCCTGGTTGACATTTGCATATTCTTAGATAAGTCGGCACTATAAAGGGGCCTTCCTGCTACCTTACACGTTGGCTTCAACAGTTGGAAATGTTGGCAGCAAAGAAAGGAATGACAGAATCTTGAAACAGTTCCAAGCGTAGCTCCACTATTAGTTACCTGAGACAGCCTAGACAATAAGGTCATACACGTCCTTATTTTTGTTAAAGGGAGTACAAAGTAAAGACAAATAGTGACGAGAGTCAATTATTGTCAAGTGTATATGTATACTATCACCCTCTCGTCTCCACCTCCTGCTCTCTGTCTCTCAACTGATTCAACAGGCTTATGTAGCGTGTGTGTCCCCCCCCCCTTCCTCATGGTTCATATCCCAGCAACTATTTCCTCTGTTAAAGAGGAGGGCTGGAAGGAGGGAGAAAAGGAGAGAAACAACACAAGAGAAAGGAAGAGTGAGAGTCAGTGCAGCAGGAGTGGATGAATGTTTTGAGTTTGTTTGGAGAAGAGGGACAGGGATGAGGCAAGAGCTCGTCTCTGACGTCAATGGACTGTTCCCTGGGCAATTTGCCAGCCGTGTGTGTGTGTGTGTGTGTGTGTGTGTGTGTGTGTGTGTGTGTGTGTGTGTGTGTGTGTGTGTGTGTGTGTGTGTGTGTGTGTGTGTGTGTGTGTGTGTGTGTGTGTGTGTGTGTGTGTGTGTGTGTGTGTGTGTGTGTGTGTGTGTGTGTGTGTGTGTGTGTGTTCCGTACACAAACAGTGGTCCACTCCAATCGTGACCTACACATCAAGGTTGAGGTCTTTGACGACAGGGACAGCTGCCACAACAAGATTCCCACAATCGCCCCTCTGCAATTCTTCCTCTCTTTCTCTCTCAGGTCTTTTTAAATGGTTTTCTCCCCTTGTTCATGCCCGGGCCAAAAAAAAAAAAAAAAAAAAAAATTGCCTGCCTTTATTTAAAAGATAGTTACTGGGATTCAATGACAAGTATCTTAAATAAACAAATACGCTATTAGAGTTCAGATTACAGGTTCAGTTTATCTCTGTGTGTACAAAAGGTACAGGTGCATGGCTAATGTTAGCTTTCGTTTGCTTAAACTTTGGCTCTTCTACATTGTGCTGAGCAGATCAGTCAGCTGTTTTTGGACTCAATCAGATATGCACCAGACTACCACTTGTTTATGTTGAGCCCGTTTTCTAAAACATTTTTGTCCCTGATGTTCGCCTCGATCCTCTCTCCGTCTTCTCAACCCCCTTTTCTCATGTTGTTCAAACAAACGTTTCCCTTTTTGTCCTGATGGATTCTGACTCCTTGTTTTATGACTTTTTCCAAAAGTATCTAATGTATATAATCATAATAACCTGAATGCAAAAATTAGGTGCAGCTACCCTACCTTGATGTTTTCCCTTCAATACCTTGACTCATCCCATCCTACTATGCAGAGATTGACTGGAATGTGTTGCCTCAATGTTTACCTGTCAGCTTTCTACCCTTGAAGCCTTTTTTTCCACCCGGTACAGCAAGTGCCTTCTGTTCAAGTAAAGTGAAGTTTAAGCCCAAAACACAGATTTCTTTCCAGTAGTGTTGGACCTCAACCACACAAAAGTGCCAGAGTTTCACAATTCTAACCACGTACCAAGTGATGACCTGAATGTGTTTTTAATTAGGAAGCACTCATTGTTATGTTTAAAATATTAAGTCAGTGGATGATAGTTGGTTTCATGTGTAGGTGTCGCCTTTACGTAAAGTGCTGTTTGACCTCTTGGCTTTCCCACCCAATGACAGTACCTTGCTTTTAGCCAATCACAGTGCAGTAGGGATGGAATAGATGATACTGTTTCGGGAAAAACTTCATTTGCTCATGTTATTGATTAAGGTTGTTGTGGTTGTATGCAGACTCATGTGATGGCTGCAGACAAAACTCTGGGCTGTAATATCTCATTACCTTATTGTTATTTTTCCCCCTGGTTGATACAGTCCTACGGTTCATTTTAAGCATGCACAGTACCAGAATCAGTAAAAAATGGGAGCAATTCTCTGTAGACCATTTCCCCTGAACTTCCCTATTCCCTCCTAGATTATGTCCAAGCCTGGTGATCAGGTCTCAGTCGCATCCTCCGGCCCCTCGGGACCCGCCCGGCAGCACCAGAGTCACCCTGAGGAGACAGAAGAGGAACTCAGGGAGCACCAGGGGCTCTCCACCTCGCCTTCGTCGTCGTCCTCTACGTCCGTGCCTGAGACTGGTCCTCTGCGGGGGCTGGTCATCAAGCAGGAGCCCCCAGACCCCCAAGAGCATGAAGACAGGGAGCAGAGGGAGAGACAGGCTGAGCAGGACTTCCTGTTCAGACAGGTAAGCAGGCGGTCTTAGTAAGATATGAATGATGGTTATACTTGGAGATAAAATCAAGGAACAGGAACAGCCGTATCAAGATAAAGGTTAGGAGGACAACTCCAGATTTACTGGGCATGAAATTGGAGTCAGTTAAAATGCAGAATCCACACAATCAATCTGCTTTTCAGAGAAAAATAATGCAAAGATAAAAAGATTAAAGTGATTTGCTTGAAAGTATCATTGGATACAATTCCCATTTCTTCATCATTATTTCATCATCTAAATGCTATTGGGTTCATAGTGGCTACAACAAGACACTATGGAGGAGCCAGTGAATGATCACCTCATAGTTCTGTCGAATCTTTTCAAATGAAAAAGGATGAGAATATCCGACAGCAGTGACAGATGGAGCTTGTAGTGAGTGACTGTAATACTACACTCCACATTCGATCTGCCTTTCTTCCAGACTTATCTGTGCAGCCCACTCTCCAGAATAACATAAAGATGTATTTACATGTTTTCCTTGAGTCACGCAAAAGGTATAAACACACGTTACACATGTTCTACTAAAGCAGAGTGGTGAGTTTTCTATGAATGGCTTGGGGCATGTGTTCCTCCTCCACACTACTACCTAGCACAACTCCATATGGACCATCACATCCTCCTGCTTTTAAAAAAAATCACTGTACACCCACACAAAAACCCTCTGTTGCACACTCAGTACCCAGTTATGCAACTAGTCCATGGACACATAAAACCTACATTCTGTATCTGCATATTGCTCGCACTCGTTCTGTGGCCACAAACACACACTCATACAAAAAAACAGTAAAGAGTCAGGACACCATGTCCTCATCTGTCAAGCCCATCCCTTCTGTCCGCTCAGCCAAATTCAATCAGGCGCTCCTCTCACTGTCGCCATGGTGCCCGTAGTGTAAGCAGACACGCCCATCGGAATTGAACAGGATTTCTCTGTTAAACTCGGAAAGATGACCCTTAATCTTTTTACTCAAGTACTTAAAGATGAAAGGGTGAAGTTTCTAATTGCCTGTGGAAGATACTTTCAATTAAAATAATGAATCACACTTAAAAAAATGATTTTTCTCTTAACTTGCTATATGAAATCATTTCGATAGATTTTTATTTGTCAGGTGTTTTAGGCTTCTCCTTTAAAACAGAAAAGAGTAATCATCTTGTGAAGTCACGCAGTAGTTTTAAATTAATAGCATCCATTATCCTTGTCAAAAGACAGCTTATGTTTTAGTTTTCTCAATGGAAGACTTGCAAAAAAATTCACCTCTAAGTTAGTAATCTGTCATATGAATATCAGACAGATCCCCTTACCTTACTGCTTTAATTATCTACAGTTGTCATGTGAACACTGGGGTACAGAAAAGTGGTGACTGACTGTGTAACACAATATCAACTCAACAAAAGAATGTGCGTAATTTCAGCTGCTATGTATTTGCAAGAATCTAATGCCATCTACTGGCCGGAGATTGTAACTGCAGTCCAGCATAGTTAATTCCACTCTGTTTGTGTTTGTGTGTGAGAAGCAGGCCCTGCTGTTAGAGCAGCAACGGATCCACCAGTTGAGGAACTACCAAGCGTCTATGGAAGCAGCCGGGTTGTCAGTGAGCTTTGCAGGACACCGCCCCCTCTCCCGGGCTCAGTCGTCTCCAGCCTCCGCCTCCTTCCCTCTGGTAGTTCAGGATCCGCCTGCCAAGCCTCGCTTCACCACAGGTTTGCAAAGAAATAAAAAAAAAAAAAAAAAGATAGGCCTCCTGCATACACACTGTTGAATATGGTACTCTTTATTGGTGTTTGCACTGCTCTCCCACAGAGATCTGTCATAAAGTAGAGTTGTAAACAACAATCTAGACAAACACTTTCATCCTGCTGATTGCAGGTTAGAGGAAACCATTTCCTAGAACTGCACAGCATGATGAGCCAGCATACAGAGGTTGTGTGTATCCACGGGGCTGTTGCTAGGTATTCTGTGCCCCCTGACAATATAGAACGCTACAAGTGTAATTTACTGCACAGAATCACCTCATCTCTTTAGAAGCTCCTTATATGACCTTTAGTTCATAATGAGACAGATCCATATCATAACCAACAATCACACCATGAGATTCCTTTGGGATTATAGGAATCTTGTTTTGACAAGTGTTTATTCTCTTGTTGTCAAAAGTACACAATTACTCTCAAACTAATCACTATGTGTGATTGCCGTGTGTATTTTTCAGGTCTGGTGTATGACTCATTGATGCAGAAGCACCAGTGTATGTGCGGTAACACCACCAGCCACCCAGAACATGCTGGACGTATCCAGAGTATCTGGTCCAGACTGCAGGAAACAGGCCTCAGGGCTCACTGTGAGGTAAGGCCACAGCTACACCTGAACACAGATTAATGGACCCATGACTTTAAAAATGGAGCTGAACAGTGTGTTGGAAAGATTAAAGAATGTCCCATGAATAGTATAAAAAAAAGTCCTCAGACGGATAAAACTGCTAGATAAAAAAAAATGAAATTTACATTACTTTACCTTCTTTGAATGCATGTTGTTTTCTCCCCACTGTAACTTTGCTAAATGTTGTTTGGTGCTCAAGATGGATTCATGTTTGGTCTTTGTAAAAAGAAATAATAAAGGGTACGTTCTAGACATGCTCTGTTTGTAAAGTGTCTTGAGATAACATTTTTTATCGATAGGCACTTTACAAATAAAGATCTGCTGAGTGATTGATTGAAAAACACACAGCATACTTATTATATTTAATGGTGTTCATGTCAATGCCATAAAAGAAAATTATTTGGTTTCTAACACATTGACATTATTGTTTTTTTCATTTACTTGAACAGTCATCTTTTTCAAGTTAAGAGCACAAAATGCTTTCAAAGAAAGCATAAAAACAATCATTAAGCAAACAAATCACTCACTTCAACCACCTTATAAACAAAAAAAAGGAAATTAATATCAAATATATGGAAACAAGCAAAAAGCTGTGAGGCAAAAGGCATGTCTGTAAAGATATGTTTGAGACAAGTTTGAAAAGCAGAAGCTGTATTTAAATATTTAACATGTAAAGCTATTGTTTGTGTCTCTCTGTTAAAAATAAAATACAGTTCAAGAGCCAAATTGTAAAACTCTGAAGTGTATTTTTATTGATGACCAGAGGGGGGCAGTGTGTGGCCATTTGTCTAAGACCTGGTTTTACCATTTAAAAAACATTTATTGGAGGTTAAACTTCTAAATGTATATTTTCTATGCAATTTCCTCTCTTTATTTCACCTTCTATGCCAAACATTGTCATCTTGTTGTGTGTCTCTGACAGCTGAATGGTGAAAATGAAGATTTAACCAAAATACATAATTTGTCTCACACCGTCTTCTCCTTTTCCATCCATGTCTTCTCCTTCGTCCTGCTCTGTGACCAGTGTATCCGAGGGAGGAAGGCCTCGCTGGAAGAACTGCAGATGGTCCACTCCGAAGCCCATGTCCTGCTGTATGGAACCAACCCTCTGAGGCAAAAACTAGATTGTAAGCATCCATTGATGGAGACGCACACCAATTCACAAACAAAGCCTCTTATATTTTATCCAACATAGCAGCCACAGTTTTGATGCGGAGGCTTCCTGCAAGTCATGTGGTTGTATACCTGGCTCATCTTATTCCTTTAAAGTCACATTTTAGCAGGTGTGTTGAGATAAATGATACAACAGATTTCTCACAGTACTTAAACAAAGAGCTAAAGATTAGCACACAGTATTACTTCATAAAGGATAAGACACTTGACATTTCAATTGACTTGCATACATGTATTTATAAAGTAATGAGCCGACAGCATTGCAAACAGAGTGAGGAGCGTCTGTTTAAAGAATCTGTTTTAATGCTTAAACCGCGTCGCAACAAAAGGTCCAATCTAATAAAGCCCTGGAGGTGTAACGTTAAGGTGAGGACCTGTTGACGCTTGTTAACTTGAAGTCACACAGGCTGCTTAGTCACTTAGCTTTGAGCTTTGTGGCTTAAAGTGCAGGTGTAGCCAGCACAGTCTCTCTCTCTCTCCCTGTGTGTGTGTGTGTGTGCTTCAGCGCATGTGCAAAAATCTGAGAGGGCAAACCCCAGTGGTCATCTTAGCTTTCATTCCAGTGGAGACATAAATTCCTCTTATTTTTACTGCTTCCACCAGAGGATTACCGGATACTCCTGTGTAATGTTGAGTGTACAGGTGGAGGGAGAAAGCAGGTGAAATGAAAACATGTTAGAAACCCAGTAAGGTGGCAACTAGTCAAGGATTAACATAATCATAGACACGGTATTAAATGTGTGGTTAGGGTTTGTTTCTTTTTCTGCAGCAGGTGGCTGAATGAGACTTGGACCTCTAACCTTTGCATTAAGAGCATCATGCTCTGTCCTGTTTACTTTAGACTCTGCTGTTGTGCTCATGAAACTTTACACTAATCCACTTGTCAACACTGGATAGACATTAGTTTGATGTTCTGAACTTTTCTGGGGGCAGTTTTTGCTTAAAAACATTTCTTAGAAAACGCATTGAATGGGTAAAGCTTCAGATTCCAACATCTGCGCAGATAAAAACTGTTTGACATAAAAGTTTTGTTTGCTGCTAAAACAAACAATAAAAATAAAGGTGAAGTCATGCAGATTTTACGTCCCTGGTAACAGCAGAGACAACCAATGAATTTAGTGAACAAGGTGGGGGTGAGGATTGGACAAAGTGGATGTGCCAAACAAAGAAACTCAACAAAACTTAACCAGATCTCAGGTGCTGATCATTCAGTTGCTGGGTAAAGCCGGTGAGGTTGATCAGGTGATTAACTACAGAAGAACAAATCAAAAAGGAGTGAGGTCTCATGCTGTCAGCCATGTAACACAGAGTTGATTTTTATTTCCAGATGAGCTGGATTTATTTGCTCACCTGTAAGAAAAGTCAAGTCCATCCGTTTTCCAGTTTCTTTTAAAGAAACAGATCCTGTCGACCTGAAACCTTGAATAAGAGAGGAGAGGATTTGATTATCAGGGAAATATGATACTTTTCTTCTTCTTCACCTCGCCCAATTAAAGCGTGCCCCTGTGTACTAGTGCTGTTCAATTAGGTCAGAAAGTCAAATGTGCATTTTTGGGGGTCATGCCCCTGATTGTGGCTGTGAGTTCAGAACGTTACCTCTTCACCTGGTTAACTTTTGCTCTTTCTTTCTGTCTCTATTTCCCGATCAGACTTTCTAATTCTCAATGTTCTTTCTGTCCCAGGTTCAGTGAATCCCATGTTTGTGAGGTTACCATGCGGAGGAATTGGGGTGAGTTGCTTGTTTTCCATTCACAAAATCATGCTCTAGTCATCTCACAAATATTCTCTCTGTAATGAGGTATTGGTAATTTGTGTTTCTGATACATTACTTGGAAATCGTCTGTGTTACTCAAGATTGTTTATTCAGTGGAAAATTGTTGTAATAGACTATTAGGTTTTTACAGCATTGTGCTAATCTAATCAATACCCAGCTGGCATTGCTCCCTCTAACTCTGCAAAACAAACAGGCATAGTTTCAGAATCATCAAGTACTGGTACAATATCTGTGTGTCCCTTTGCTCACTCGCTCTTTGCCCCCTGCCGAAATAATGATCCCATTTTTTCCTGTTTCACCAAACAAACACGCACACACAGATGTAACACACTCGCATACACACACACAAACACGCACACACAGATGTAACACACTCGCATACACACACACAAACACGCACACACAGATGTAACACACTCGCATACACACACACAAACACGCACACACAGATGTAACACACTCGCATACACACACAAACACTCACACACAGATGTAACACACTCGCATACACATACAAGCTCGCGCACACACAAACACCGCCCTTCGAGGACCAGAGGCAACAAAAGCGGTTGCTTGCCTTTCCTCCGCGTTTGTAATTATATCCAGATGTTTTCAGGCATACGAGCTGTGTATGTGTGTGTGTGTGTGTGTGTGCGTGTGTGTGTGCATTGATTTGGTGGGGGGTATGTTTTTGTTTGTGTGCAAAGCACTGTGTTTTAGGGTGTTTGTGTGCTAATGCAATCATTTAGATGGTTAGTCAGAGTTGGAAGCGATGCCTTTTGAAACGGATATGTCTCACACCTGCCTGTATGTGTCTGTTTCTGCATCGTTGTTTGGGTTTTGTTGTTGCCTCCCCCCCCCCCCAAAGAACTAGTGCAGCTCCAAGCCTCCCACCCACCTTCACCTTCTTCACCTTTTACTTGCTCTTTCTGCATCTCTAACTTTATTACATGCCATCCATTCCTCCCAGCCCTCTTTTTCTTTCTTTTCCCTTCGTTTCCCTCCCACACTGCTGCTGCCTTGGTGGGAACAAGACGACTCTGGGGCTCCTTGCCGCTCTGTTCTGCTCTAACAGCAAATAGGTCTAAATTGTTGTCTTCCTGTCATACACACACTCACAAGTCACCCACACACACATTTACAGAGGAAGGGGGCTGAAATTAGGCTGTCAGCCTGCGGAGAGCCGTCATTCCCTCATACCAGCACGTTCCCGCTCTTTTTCTTACCTCTGACACACACACTCATGCGCACAAACAAAGACAAACAATTCTTCCCTTTCACTTTTTCCTGACTTGCTTTTGTGCCACTCCTGGCTTAAGGCAAAATGCATTAACATGGGAAATAATAAACCACTCAGTCTCCTCATGCTGCTTTAGAACAGCATCAGTTTGTGCTCATTTACCTGACTTGTATGTATGATTCAGTTTCCCATTTCACTCACTTGGCTCTTTATTTGTTTCCTCACTCAATCACTGACTGGACTTCTACGTAGTGTCTTCCTATCCTCGGTTTCTCTCGCTACACTCAGCACCATCTATCACTCAACAAGCACACTCTCTACCCCCTTTTTAGCTTTAAGTCTCTGGCAAATTCGGCACAGTTTTATTTCATGACAAAGTCCTTCTTGGCTCAGCTTAAAAAGAGACTTTTTTCTTCCGTGTGGATGTTATTATGGAGAACTCCTCCAGCCTTGATCACTCCCGTCACTGGAGACAAGAGGCTGGATGTCTGAAAAGCTGTTAAGTCACTTAACAAGCTTACTAGGTTGAAGGAATGGGACTTGGTTAGTGCACAGCATGGCCAGTTAACGGTCCAAAAGGCGGTCGGTGTGGATGTAAAGGCCGGCTGCCTGACAGAGCAGGCTGACTGGCAGGTTAAAGTGAATATATTCAAACTTGAAGAAGTCCAGTGTTTTCTCTACATCTCTGGAATCAGCCCCTCCACACATGTGTGTACAGTTCAAACACACTGACACACGGACCTTCCTTTTCTTCTTTTCCTCTGCCAGCGTCTTCTCTCAGTGTTTATCATATCTTCCATCTGCCTGCAGTAACTGACATGCCTGACAGAGGGTGTGTATATTATCCTGTGCATGCCCCTGCTTAAAATCAATCCCATAGAATTTTTTGGTTCCTTGGGTTTGTAATGCATGCATGTGTATGTACTGTTGTGTTTGGGGCAGAGGGCCAAGCATGACTCAGCATTAATCAGGCTTGACCAGTAAATGTAGGGCTTACTCGAAACAAACTCAAATACATTCAGTCAGTTCTAAAACCTTATTCATGACAAACAATGATAATCTTAAATTGCCATCATCCATTTTTTTTACTAATTTACTCGATCGATACGTCGTTATTCTATTTTAGTCACCCTTAGTGGATGATGTTTTGACCATTTGCCTGTATGAGTAAGCTTCTAAATATGTGTTACTGCCTCACAGATTCTCTTTCTATTGTTTTCTGTTCATGTCAGTGGAAACATGTTCCAGCAGTCTCTAAATTGCCACTTTCAAAGACTTTGACTCAGAGAAATGACACAAGCCAAATAATAGCAAACGTTCTCAAAGTTTTACAGTTGCTGTCACACTCACATAAACCAAACCATCAAACATCCTTAAATAAATGGAAAACAGAACAAGGTAACAGACTTTATCTGCCTTTTTTTTTAAATATGACATTAACAATATGTGTGTGTTTGTGTCTTGCAGGTGGACAGTGACACTATTTGGAATGAGGTCCATTCATCCAGTGCAGCTCGACTGGCCGTCGGCTCCGTGGTGGAGCTGGTCTTCAAAGTAGCATCTGGAGAACTGAAGGTAAGCTGGGATACTGTGTGGAGACCATTTGAGCAGCAAAGTCCCAGCTGTTTGTTTGGTATTGAGATTACAAAAGGATGTTGTTTGTTTCAACCTATTATTTGCCATTTATGTGTTTAACAACCTTTAAGAAGGAGCCAACATGAAAAAAGCTCAGATCCATTCAAAAGAAATCTGCAACTAGATCTTTTGAGTTTCTTTTTACTGTCTTCTGATAAATTTCAACACAAAGTTAACGCTCTTTGAACATGCACTATTATATACCTTTTTCTTGTTGTGTTAATCCAAATATTCAAAATGCATTAACTATATATCACTAGTAAATGGAAGCAATATCCTAAAGTGCTGAACTATCCATCCTCTCCCCCAAAAAATCTCAAGAAAAAAGTAAAGTTACTTTCCTTCCAGAAACATCCATACCAAAGTCTCGTTAGCACCTTCCAGACACAAGTCCCCTCCCCCGTCATGCCTTGCCCACCAGCCAGCCTTCCTGTGTCTGTGGCAAAAGCAGCTTACTGTTTGAACCCAGCAGGGAGGCCCGGCGCACGGGCACCGCAAACGCCAACAGACCCCGCTAACAGGCCTGCTTTATTGGCATTACACCACAACCACCTGCAGAGCAGCAGTCGCACTTTGCGTTAGCTTAGCACCAACACACCACAGACTAATGACGGTACTCTGCGTGACAGTACCACATAAATCGGAAAAACACACATGGATTTTAGATTTGTGTTCCAGTGTTTATAACCTCTTCTACATGTTTGAATTGTTACTATGAAGTTAAAATGGTGTCATCTCTTGTTTGATACAGAACGTTTGATTAGGAATATCTGAGCTTAATGGGAAAACATAATGGATCAAACACACAGGAGGGAAAACACTCTGAAACTTACTGTAGGTCAAAGTTCACAGGTATTGACTTGCCCTCAGCTTAACCAGATCTTAACACTTACTCACTCTATCTACACATTCGTGCACACACTCTTGCAGACACACACACATTCTCCTGCACATGCTTACACATACAGATGGTCCTTTGAGGATCCTCCACAGCAAAATGACCAAATTCCACCTGCACCAGCAACTCTCTGAACTCCACAGAATGCCATAAATCTACTCCACACTCACACTCACACGTCTGTTACTCCATCTGCTTCTCTCTCTCTCTCTCTCTCTCTCTCTCTCTCTCTCCCTCCACACGTCTATTTTGATCCATTGTTATTTTTCCTCTGCATAGAGAAAGAACTGCACCTTCCTTTCTCTCATACACCTTCTTACACACTGTAACATGCAGCCAGCCTTAACGGAGCGTCTTCAAACCAGCTGAGGCAGTTGTCTCTACAATAAACTCCCGGCCGGCTGCTAATCCAGAGCAGCTGACTCAACATCATTAGCCCAGCCTGCTTCGCTCTACATCAGCCTGAACATCTATCTAAAGTCCCCACGTAGTAGTCGGAGACCCAAAAAGCAGTTGCTGGGAGTCCCGCTGGTCTCTGCCTTAAGAAAGCTCCCCTTAGCTGACCCGATGTTAGCATCTGTTTCTGTGTGTGTACATGCACACTTTGGCATTACTCCTCCACTGAGAAACAGATATTTAACTTAGGTTGTGACATTTTTAGGAAAATAGTTATGAGGGAAACAGGTTTGCTGGTGAATTATTTCTCCTTTAAATGATGTAGTTATGTTGTTTTGCTTTGTGCATCAACACCATCCTGACACTAAGAGGACCGGATGATAAGAAAAAGCAAGGGAGATGTATCAGCATTATCCAATACCTCAGTCTTAGATAAGGGAAACATATTATCAGTAGAGGGTTTAGGTCTGTTTATTAACCACTGTTTGAATCATGCTGTGTATCAAATGTTTTTTTCCTGTCAGAATGGTTTTGCTGTAGTTCGACCACCAGGACACCATGCAGAGGAGAGCACGCCCATGTAAGTATAAAAGCAAATTTATCAGAAGTTTCTCAATGTCTTTATTTTCTTATGCAGTTTTTCCTCGTTTCATACATTGTCTTATTTTACCGCTCTCTGACCATTTTCAGGGGGTTCTGTTACTTCAACTCTGTCGCCATAGCTGTCAAGCTGCTGCAGCAGAGGCTCAATGTCAGCAAAATCCTCATCGTGGACTGGGTGAGTTCCTCTGACACCAGCGTGCTTAAATTCACACCTTTGTAAATAATAAAACAAAAACTATGGTCTTGACCTGCTCTTCATGAAAAGAGTCTTGAGGTAGAATTTGTTTTGAATTGGCTTGATACAAATAAAGATAGATTACAACGTACATAAAAGCCTTGAAAATATGGACTTGAGGTATTGATGCAACATTGAAGAGGGATCCTTTGATCACCTCAAAGAATAGATTTTAACAGAAGAATCTGAAGAGAGGACAGCTGCTGTCACACTATCAGATGTAAAATATCTTCTTCTGCTTACAACTAAAGGGAGGGATTACATTGACTATTGATAAATCTTTTTGCACATGTTTTTAATTTAAACGATCCAGAATATAAATAGGAAGTAATGCAAAGAACAAATGAATAAAGATCCCCCATGGGGAATGTCATTGTCTCTTCAGCTATGGAAATAACTCCAACAAATAATAAATCACATACAAACTTTGTTCCTACAAAAAATAACAGCTGGACTTGGTGACTTCCATACCAATATATCTTTAAGTAACACTGTGCACAAGGCATCTCATGACCTTTAGGGCCTTTACATTTTCTGATTGTAAGGATAAAAGACAATCAGGTGCTATGAGAATTTAAAATCAACCGTGTGTTGTCCCTTCTGCTCTCTGTTTTTGCAATGTGAGGAGTGAAGAACAGGGTAGGCAGGATAATGTGTAAAAGAAAGCATATTCAAACCCAAGAATACATGTATGTTTCTGTAAGGTCACACAAGTTCAGACTATTAAAAACAGAGCAACAGACTGGACCTGTACACTGCTCTGGTTTTGAGATGAATAATAGGGCTTCAAATATTGGCTATTCAGGTCAGACACTGTCCTTTTTTCAAAAGCGAGACAGAGTAATCTATAAGAAGGTATGACAAAGCCTGGTCCATGTCTAGGAGCACTGGACTGGTCATGGCCATTCCTTAAAGCCTTTGAAGGGCCTTTTCATTTCCTCTCTGTCTGTCACAGGGGGACATTTAGTGCAGCCAGCGAGCTCATTGTCATGCCACTCAGCCTCCAGCCGACAGGGACATTTTTAGGATGAGTGTATTAAAGCATTCTTGGGACACAGACAATGAGGTCATTTAATTGATGTCGTGTTGTTGACAAATGTGAGCAACAATTGAAGTTCAATGCTTTATTGAATCCTGCTGACCACCCCTTTTTGTCATCAAAGCAGAGTACAGCTGAGAGACAGATTTGAGTGTCTGGAAGTATTACAGTTTCTCAGCATCATTCAGCTTGTCTTTCATCCAAAATCATCTGATGTCTTTTGGTTGACTAGACTCGACTTGTGTTACACTGTGTGTGTAATGTTCAGTCTCCCTAACCTCTCCTTTGTCATGTTTCCAGGATGTTCACCACGGAAATGGCACCCAGCAGGCCTTCTACAGCGACCCCAGTGTCCTCTACCTGTCACTGCATCGCTATGACGATGGGAACTTCTTTCCTGGCAGTGGAGCTCCTGATGAGGTTGGCAGTAGTTGATCTCTCTTCCTACATGCTTATCTAGTCATCTTAATGTCTGCAGATAAAGTAACCTAGGTGTGTGTCTTTGTGTGTGTTGTAGGTGGGCACTGGAGCAGGTGTAGGATTCAATGTGAACATGGCCTTTACTGGAGGACTGGAGCCACCCATGGGTGATGCAGAGTACCTGGCTGCATTCAGGTAAGACAGTGATAACACCTGCTTCTTTATAGTTCATTTATGTTTGAATGGTTGTACTGTAGGTTTCATTGGAAAGTGTCTTGGAGGAAAAGCAGTGCAGAGTTCGACAATGATCTATAGGGGGCTGTTCACTAGGTAGGGAGCTACTCCTCATGCCATGCCTGATTCCAATTAGGTGCACTTTATCTGGCTATTTTTAACCTGTTGCCCAGACACACACAGCTTGAAAGACCTACAAGTGTATAGGCATGGACTCACCACGGACATGAGCATGTCTCACACACATATTTGGATCACACAGCTGGTGAGGAGCAGGGCTGGATTGGTTCCAGTGCTCTTTGAAGATGAACTCACATTTGAGTCCGTGTGTCCATCTGGCCTGGGCCAAACCCATCAAACTGACAGGCCACTGTCCTTTGGCAGCTTCTGGCACGCAAACCCCCGGAAGCACACCTTTTCCCATTAATGCACCCCAGACCCCTGCGTTTTAACTATACTTCTCTGGAGTTTGTTTTTCCCATCTTATCCTCCTCTTTCTATGCTTGTATGCTTATACACTGTTGACAGTCTATGGATATCATCCTACAGACAGTTTTTGTGATGCATCACTATTATAACACAGTAAGCCTCACACACATTTGTAAAACTACCTTTTTCTGATTATAGTAACATAAGAATAGAAACAACAAGGATACACTGATTGTATCAACCAGAGTATTAACCAAGCGAGAGGTCCAAACTCTCTCACTTTTTCCCCTGTTAAAATACATTTCTGGTCAAGTCTTACATGCTGTAATTCAGGGTTTTCTGTTAAGGTATGACTGAAGGATACAAGAAAAGCCCAAAACACAGACAAAAAATATATATTTTTACAATTTGGATTATTTCCCGCAATTTTTTCAACAATTTATTCAAGTGATATAGACTTAGGTCGGTGTTGAAGATTGGCCTTCCCAAGTTTCCATTAGTTTGCAGTTATCTGGTATAAAAACAAACTCAGTCTATCTTCTTTGGGCATTACTCCAGCATTTAAAAATTTAACATTCATAAAGTTGACATGTTGAACCTGGTTAAGTTCCCCTTTTATTCTTTTTAAGACATCGATGAAGATATTTCCTCTGTAATCGAGCTGATCGGTACACATTTAATCTAATCAGTATTGCACCATGCTACAGTTAAACCAGCAAATACAAATTCAAATTGCACTGTGCAAAAAGAAGAAACCACTTTATTATACAGTCGTTTGGGTGCGTGTATGTTTGTTCAGGAGAGCATGCATCCATATGAGTGAACATGCATGTGGAGAGGGTTGTAGTGTGTTTGTGTGTTCTGTTTATGTAATTGTAGGCTATTAAATCAGAGTTCTTGGCATTATGGAACAGATCTAAAGATAAAAAGTGAAGGCGAACCAGAGGTTTGGGTGGGTATCACCTCAGACCTTGGCGCCATTAATCCCCTGAGGCTGTAGCAGCATTGCAAAATTCATAGGTCCCACAGGACAACAGCAGACCTGTCTCACAGCTCATAGATTAACTACACACACACATAAGCATTTACCACACATATACACACAGAGGTGCAACATGCTTTGGCCGTAACATACATGATGGTGCATGAATATCCACAAAAACAGGGAGAAGCAGACCAAAAAATAGCTTACACCTGCATTTTTTACATCAGCTTGCCTACCATTAACAACCACCTCCAGATACATGTTCATAGACACCTGATACACACAGTCCCTCTCTCTCTCTCTCTCTCTCTCTCTCTGGCTTTCAGCATCATTGATTATCTGTGTGTTGTGGTCCTTTCTGCTCAGTCTTCGGGAAGGGATGCGTGCCTTGCAGTCGGCACCTTCCCATTCCTCTGCTGGCCTGTGCCACGTTGCATTTGCAGGGGATCAAATCTAAGTCTCTAGAAAGCACACAGAAAAAAGATAAGAAAATTGGCCCTAATGAAAACCAGAGGCACCGTCTCTCTCTCTCTTTCTCTAGCTCTCTCTCTCCCCTCCTTCTTTCACTCCCTCTTCTGCCATGAACTTGGAAAGACGAGAGAGGAGGAGAATTAAAGTTAATTCAAACCAGCTTTCCGCAGCGCCAGATGACAGGGCTTTGAAGTGTAAGTGTGCGTGTGTGAGTTTTTCGCTCTTATTCTCTCTCTCCTCTCCAGCTCTCCCCTTCTTTTTTTATGAACGGAGGAGGAAAGCCTTGAGCTCAGCAGTTTAACCATTTGTTGACTGGTTTGCTAAACACTGCTCCCTGCTAAGGACAGAGTTTGCGTTTTCTTCTTAAAGGGGCCTTACCTTAGTCACCTGCACCAAAATGCACTGATGATGCTGAACGGTAATTACTCCTGGCTCATAGATTCCCTTGCCTATCAAGAATTATAAATAAAAGCGCAGGAATAATCTGCTATTTTAAGTTATTTTTGCTAGATATTGGCAGATTTAATCGTGTTTATTTCTATAAACCCTTCAAAGACCTTATCAGGTTATATCTGTGTCAGAAAAATAAACTGTTTTGCAAAGATCCCTAGTTTATTGTATTGCATATACACAAAACAAACTTTTGGAACTTAAATTTTAAATCTGATATTTACTTTGAAATATTACCAGTAAATCCCATATATACAGCCTGTGGTCCACCACCCAATGCCACATTTCTTCCCTCCATGTTTGAAACCTTGAGTACACTGGATTAGAAGGCATAATCAAGATGTGGAAAAGCCGAAATTATGGGCCAGAGTAATTACACAAAGATGAGTAGTCCCCAGAGAGGAAGTTTTCCTTGGCTCAGAAAATCACAGCCATGCCAAGATCTACTACTGAATTAACCTGAGTACATTTGTGTACTCTTGAAATCATATTGGAAGATAATTGCCAAAAACACAATGTGCTCATCAGGATCAAAGGGGGGTAATTAGTCCGAGTAAAAAAAAAAAAGGAAACAGGGCCTTTTTTGTGAGGCTTAGCTAAGTGAGGATAGAAGTCTATAGAATACAGTCTATGTGTGGAGGGTTTGATGGGCATTGGAGGATATGGTGTTGTGATTCATCAGGGAGATCAATTATTCATGTGCCGTGTCCATACACTGTATAAAACATGGACGTAGTTTCTGTGACATCATCCATTGGTTTCTGAAGAGGCATTCTGAAGCCCAAAAATGGCGGTCACCATGTGGGAAATCCTGTCTCAACCTTATTGTCGATCAATCTAGTTACAAGCACAAAGGTGTATTTGAGGCAGGCCTTAAGCCTCTTGGCAAACAGGTACAACTCACTCACCTAGCGGTCAACTCAGCCATTCCCCTTACTATGCAAACCCAGGAATAACTCTGAGGCTTAATATAATAAAAACAAATAAGTTGTAAAATTCCACAGAACTAAATGAATGGATTTTAACAATCACACTCGATTCCCACTTTTTCAGTCAAACAATCACAAGCCCACACCCAGCGTTCCTCGGCTGATACTTAACTTTTTACATGTGCACCTGTTGCTAGGTAAATCAAACATTGCTAAACAACTTTTCAACTGGTGCTTACCCCAATGATTCCCCTCACCCTTTAATGTAGCCGTGAGACAGGCAGCAGTGGTTAGGATTGCAGCGTCTTCATGCAGGATGTCCTGTAGCTCACAGCGTCTTAAACTCTCCCCTCCATCAATTAACAGAAAGGCTTTTTCATCTCCACATACGAAGCCTCTGATTCAGGGATAATTGGTCATCCCCAAACCACTGGTTTCCCTTTGTGCCAGTCTGCTAATTGATTGCTAAGGGGTTTTATCCCTTAAATCTCTGGATAAAATTGAAGGGGCTGGAACTGTTGACATGAGCATTTTTTATCATAATGACGAGAGCTGAAGCGGTCTGCTTTAAGGGCTTGAGGAGGGGGGCATGGGACCCCTCAGTAGGTTCCTCTGCAGTAAATGTTTCTCAATGCACTGTGTCAGCCCATACGCAGGCCTCTGGCCTACACCCTTTAGTGTGGGGTCTTACAGTATACAGTATGTCCAAAATGTTGATGAACCAAACCTGTGGCTGAATGTTAGTTTTTGTTCGGTAGGAAAAGTTGTAAACAAAGCCTGAAAAATACAAAGAAATTACAAACTTGATACATTTACCATATTTTTACAAAATCCTTATTGGTTTCCAAAAATGTTGCTTCTTTTGTTGAATGCCATTTGATAAAAAGCATTTAATTTTTTCTCACCAAAGCCTCTTGTGAAGGCCTTGCCCTCTTAAATGTATCCCTGTGTCTTTATCTCTCTTACTTAAGCTTGTTTTTCCATCCTTCTCCATAGTCTTCTTACATGACGTTTTCCTCTGAAATGTTGCCAGATGCATGCTAGCACACAGTGACGCACACAATCAGTGCATCCTTGCTGTCTGGGACTCCCAAAAGTTTCTAATACTACCTCCCGCCTCTCCCTCAGACAGCTGTGTGTACGTATGAGTGTTGTGTTGTGGTGGGGGGTGTGGTGTGCACAGTTAAGGGTTATAATTTGGTGGTGAGCATGAGATGGAAAAACTGTTGGCCTCCGGAGTTCAGGGCACGCTGCTTGCCCGCAGCCAGCAAACCAGCACTGTGTTCCTGAGGTCAGCAAAGTACAGAGAACCTATGACAGAACCCTGTGGTACTTCGTCACTTGCAGCCCTCACAAAAAACTGCTTGCCCATATATCCAAGACCCCCCTACAGAAACTGAGCTAGCCAGAGGAAACCATTGTTTTGACTCTGGGAAGTCCCATCCTAAATCATATTAACCAGAAAACTTTGACACATACTTTTATACAGCTGAGCCCTCTAGTGTGCCAACCCCAGTATAAAAGAATAGTCCGTATTCTGTATAACTGATGCCTTATTTGCAGCTATCCTTAAAAAGACAGAGAAGTTAGTAAATTAACTGCTGAATTATTGTGTTTTTAAGCAAAATATAAATTCCATTGTTTATGACTTGAATATTTTTTTCAAATAAAAAGTTGGGTTCAGTACTTGAACAAATAAGTGAAGCTTATAAATTCAGAATAGTCCAGTTTTATGTGGTCCAATGTTCTTGTGCCAAACTCTGTAGGTGCTACATGCATACACTTCATGTTGTTTTTATCAAACGGGGTCACCATATAAAACCGGACTGGATTTTCCAGCCACAACTTTCTGTGAATCATAGCACAGTACCCGCTGTTGATTAGATTTATGGATGTATGACACAATGCGCTCAAGAACTCCCTCCCTGCCAGCTGTGTGTTAGATGGAGGTTGTAAACAAACAGCCCTCATTCACCACACCCATTCAGTGTTCAAATGATCCTGCCTATTTCAAAAACATACACACATGCAATCTTAAATTGTCTTTTAATTTCTCCTTTTTACTTAAAGGGATACTTCACCCGTTGAAACATGATCTTTATTGACATTGGGTCATATATGTAGTAGAAATGTGAAATAATTTTGAAGTTGGTGCCTTTTGGCTGAGAAAAGGCAGAAGTGTCTTTTTGGCTCATGTGGATGAAAGACACCAAATCCCAGAATGCACAGCACCGCAGGCCACTCCCACTAAGGTCCTCGATTTCAGAATCAGAATCAGAAATACTTTATTAATCCCAGAGGGAAATTCGATCGTTATAGTTTCTCCAAAATATACAATATAGCAGTAGAAACATAGTAATAAAAACATTTACAGACATATTTACTTTGAGGGACATTTCCTCAACAGATTCCGAGATTTCTTCCAGAATTGATCTTGGAAATTCCTGGCAGAAAACAGACTCTATGTCTGTGTCCATAGGCAAACAGTGAGAGTACCGACACTACCAGTCCGCCCCAGCTCGAGCCGGACTGGGCTCCTCGTCCTCACCGCCGCCGACAGGCAGGCCTTATTCACAGCTGCTGAGCTGGCGTCCAGCGATATAGCCGCCAGACGGTTGCTGCCGACAGGCCGGTCTCGTGTCGCGCCAGTCTATGCGGCTGCAGCAGCCAAGACACAAGACCAGCCTGTCGGCAGCAGCCATCTCGCCACTATATTTATATTTTTTCGCCATTATCAGCTTTCTCCATAGAGCCTGTTAGCATAGCTTCCAAGCAATGTGGCGGACGTTAAGTTTCGATTCTGGGAGTGAGTTCCCACCCACTGATCTGTGATTGGTCTGTAGCTTCAGTGGTCCAAAATATGAGGAACCAGCGTTGTAGTTTCACACCGCTAACTGTAACAGCTTCCAGTGACGCAATATGATGATATTTGCGTCACTGGAAGCTCCTTTTCAGACTTAGAAATACAGAACTTTCCAGTCTCAGGGGGAAATGAGGGCTGGATGCAGGACCATTCAAAAATACTACCAGTTTACGACTGAAACAATGCTTAATGCAAATGGGTGAAGTATCCCTTTAAGGATGTTATAGTGTGGTGCTTCCCCAAATTTTCAACCTTTACTTTACTTCAAAGGAGTATATGGACATTTCCTCTGCCACACACAGAATGTTTACACTAACTCATTACAAAAAACAAGGCCATGAAAGAAGTGAAACTCATACACAACCAAAAGTGTGGCAGCATCTCAGGCTGGTAACACCAAATACCAAAGTCCTCTTAAAGCAAAAACACATTTTATAGAAGGTTCATAAAGGTTGAAGCGAGTGCTGCACTGGGTCCAAAAATTTAGAAGAAACATGTGCTCTACAAGGATAGGGGACTGAGGTCAAATAGCTAATAAATAAATGACAGTCCTGAACTTATTACAAACAAAGTTCCTTGTGAAGAAAAGGCAATCTGAAAGTCAGAGGCACTCTGATGACATTTTTCTTATTTCTTTACTTTACAAAGGATTGTAATGCTGCATCAGAGTGCCTCAAACTTTCAATTTAGACTGCCTTTTCTTCACAATGAACTTTGTAATCAGGACAATTATTTATTTGTTAGCCATAAACATATTTTAATTTAGTTCAGTCCCATGAACTCCTCATTAGTTGTCTTCTAGCTTTCTGAGGTGACAGAGTTCATTATATGTTTAGATTGTCTGTTGAAAACCATAGAATTTCTTGGTTATTGTAAATCCAGCTTACCTGTTGTTTATCTGAATATGGGACTTAAATTCTAAAGTTTGTCAACTACACATGCGATAGTGAACGAAGTGCTTCAGTTCTTGGACCTCTTTTATTTCACACTATATACTGTATGGTTTTGAATTTCACATTATTTTTGTTTAACATGCCATGGACATTTGCTGAATCTACATACATCTTAATTTTGACCTTTCCTCCAGTGTAATGACACAGTTCTTCTTTTCAGAGATAGGCTGCTTCTTTAACTTTTAACTTAACCATTCATACATTATTTTGTTGACATTATTTTCTCCCTCTGGTTACTCTAGGACAGTGGTCATGCCTATCGCCAATGAGTTTGCCCCAGACGTTGTTCTGGTATCTTCAGGCTTTGATGCAGTTGACGGACATGCTTCACCTCTGGGAGGATACAAACTGAAAGCTAAATGTAAGTGCAGGCCACAGCTACCAACTTAAACCAGAGATACAATTTATCAAAAAAAGAATTCATGCGTTTCACACTCGCACACAAGTCATTTGTGTTTTTCTCCTATGCAATACAATACCATTTTTGAGAGCAGGAAAGACTGGCAGGCACACAGACACACCAAACACACTTTTTGTGTATACTTTGTGCCTCTGACTTGTGTATTCAGATCAAGAACTTGGCGTGCCAGCAAAGAGCTTTTCTTAAACCAGCCTGCTGATCTCAAATAAGAGTAGGGGTCCTGCTTGTAAAATGGGGTGCTATGGGTGGTTTAGAGAGGATTGCAGGATGAGGAGATATGGTTAGAATTTAGGGGAGAAAAAGTATTACGCTGAACGCATTCAAACTTCCCTCTTCTGACAGAAAAAGATCAAAGACTGTGACCAAGCTTAAATGCAAAGCTGCATTTATTGAAATTAAACCTGGCTCATATTAGGGCTTATTTTTTAGCCCCAAGTAAATCCAGAGTGCACTCTCTTCCTCTCTTTCTCTCTCTGATGCAGTCATCCCTTCTCTAATGCATGCTCAAACCCCCTTTTTCTGCCTCTTTTTCTTTGATCAATATCCAAAAAGGAAGTTAGAGCTTGAACACCATACTTCCTCCCATCTCATTCTTTTTCTCCCTGCCCTCTCTCTGCTGTCATTTCCTGTGTGTCCAGGCTTTGGCTACCTGACTCGGCAGCTGATGGCTCTGGCAGGCGGTCGGTTGGTGCTTGCCCTGGAGGGGGGTCACGACCTCACTGCCATATGCGATGCCTCTGAAGCCTGCGTCTCCGCTCTGCTCGGCAATGAGGTAAGATGAGAGCCTGCAGGAGGAGGGATAAATTACCGCCAAAATATCCTCGTAAATGACTTTTTCAAATTACCTTGAGCAGGGCACCAGGATTCAATGATACATTTTGAATCATGGATTTAATCTATGGCTAGAGTGGGATTAAATATGCAGTGAGGGTCATAGCAGATACCACAAATACCCCATTTAGAAAACTGAATCTAGTTCATCCAAGCTGTAAAACCTGTCATATTACGGTTTCGTATATAGATGTTTCAATTTTTTTCAGAATTCTTTCTTTATTTAATGCATTATGTCAGCAATATGATGTACGAAGACCATGTGATTTAAAAGCCTGTTTATTTTAAATTAATCTATTAAAAGCTTTGTAAGAACATAATTTATGCTTAATTGCGTAGACATGAACATTTTAGACTTTATGCAGATGAGGACTGTCTTAGTTATTTAGTTTGTCAGCATGAAATGTTCTGAATGCAGTTGCACTTGACTTGCTCTGACATTTGTATTTCTCAGTTAAATGCAGGAATTTTCCTTAATTTGAATTACATTCTAAAAATAATTTAGCACAAGATTTTAACAACTTTGTGTCTCCTGAAGCTTAGATGCCTGGACACCTTTTGCCCTGATTATTTGATTATATGTCAGGCCTTTTCATCTTCCAGGTCCATGATTATATCCATTTGTTTTGGCAAGGAGCACTAAAATGTAAGTGCTTACAAACACAGTAAAGCTGCAGAACTACAGTATGAGGTCTGTAGCCCTGTTACATTGATACATCATATTAAGAATACAGGCCAATCTTTCACCTTGTACAGTACTATTTTATCTGTGGCAAAACCCTCTTTCTACTGTTTTTTTTTATTGCTTTCTACCGCTCAGAGAGAGGAGGTCAACTTCACACTCACTCACACGCACAAGCACGTCAGAGGCAGAGGATTTCCAGGCAGAAGGTTAATTGTGGGAGTGAGTAGGTTGGGTCGTGGGACTGAATAAACATCGGTGCTCTGTGATTCATGGTGCACAGCAGAATAGCGACTCCTCAACGGCCGCCCACTCTTTTCTTCCAACTAATGGAGAGCATGGAGTGCTTTTTTGGACGTGCTGCTCAGTCTCATTTTCTCCTCCTAGATTATGCATCCAAGATATCGCAGTGCTTTTGTATTTTAAGGGACTACTGAATTTTGATAGAGAACTGAGATTGTAGAGCTTTACGGGAAGAGAACAGGGTGTGACTTGTTGTGTTTTTGTCGGAAAATTAGCAAAAGCAAACTTGTGTGACCGTTGCTCAGGAGTGTTTCATCCAGATCCTGTTTCTCTGGGCTGTGTATCGAGCCAACTCAAACAGATTGGAGTTCATGTCTGGAGTGTGTCTCTTAAGTGAACTCATAATCTGTTGCTGAATCGTTCACACCCTATTTGACAGGGTGAACTGAGATGGTTGTTGTTGATGTTGTTTGGTTCCTCACTTTAAGGTTTTATGTTTCACATGTTGTGACGTCTTGCTGCAGCTTGAGTTGTTGGATATGTTTGTATCCTCAGTGTGCTTTGTCCACATTCACTAACATATCTGAGCTGTCTACTTCTGATTGCACAAGATACCTTTTTGTGTCCCAGAAACGTGTACACAACGTGGGAGGAAGATCAATGTGTATATTCAGTACGGTTAGTTCGTTTCAATGCATTGATAAATGCAAATTTAACAGACAAAGATTGAGCATTGTGGAGGAGTTCTACCAACTGTGATTCATCCAAGCGTTACTAGCTAAATAAAAACTGGAACGGAACTAACAAAACCAAATACATCAAGTAAGTAAGCACACGTTGTGAATAAATATCCAGACTGACACTCTGTCATGCACTTAGTTTATTTAAGAAATGATTGCCACCCTCAAGCGTTACTGCAGAAGTAGCCACAAGGAAGCCCTACTGTAGGTGGTGGTTGCCATTGGAATGGCCACTGCACCTGCTAAAGCCATTATCTTCAGGCTCATCAGACAGTTATTTTAATAAATGTCTCCACTGTTAGCATGTGATACAGAACCTTACAGAGCATGTAGGGGGACTAGTTGCTGACTGCATGAAATCATTTTAACCAAGTGTAGCAATGTACTGTTGTGATTGACATAAAACATGTGAAGGTTAGTTTTGTGTTGCCGTTGTTTTCATTTAAGTACGGCAAGTATCAGTGTTCAAAATAGGTCATGTTACACAGCTTCAGAAGTTAGTGTTATTGAGATCATATAAAACAATTCTTATGATCAGTCACATTTATCCAGTGAAAAATAATAATTATAATCCAGTCCTTAGCTTATCTTGTTTTGAAAAGAATTACTGAAAAGGTTGATGCTTCATTGTTGATCTCTGAATCTGTATGCGCTTTGTTGACAGTGGTAACAGCTCATCCCGCAGCCTCTCATTCCAGCCCTGCAGACAGCGTGAACCATAAATGAGTTCTTGGAATCGTAAAACAACCCACATGGCTTTGTTCCATGTGGATGTTGGAGTCCGAGCAGAACAAACAGAACAATAACACAGGATCACATTAATAAAACTGCAACCAACTAGCCCATCGTCGTGGAATGCGTAGACATTGAACAACGCAGACGGATGATCCATACAGGCACATGATAATGAATACACAGATGTATACTGTAGTTGAAGCACTGAGAAACAAGTTAATGTGTTGTCTTCAGAGGACAGCACTTCTATGTGTCCACAGATCAGGAAACAACAGATCCTTTGGAGGAAAGTTCTTCAAAAGTGGGAAACACACAAACTACTGGCTTAACTTAATAATAAAACTTTGCTAGCATACACTGTGCCCATGACTCAAAGGTGTCTTCTGTAGCTGCCGATACAGCTGGTAAGAATTCAGGAATTCAAGGACACTTCAGCAGGGCGGATGCTTTTGGCTATCACACAGTTTGGACCCAGGACTCTGAGTTTGAAGGACGCTCTCGTTACTCACAACAACACCACCCTGCTGCAAAAATACTGAATTGGATCAGGGGGTTTGCTTCTTAGGTTTCAGCAGCCTTCAGAGCACCGGCCTCAGCAGGGGTTTGGAGGAGGTCAGTGGATGGGTGCCAGTGGGAGCTGAAAATTTGAAAATAGGCAGGAGGCAGGTAGCGTCAATTGCCTCAACCCTGCAGGAGACCCTTCACAGCCTCTCGCTCGGGGCCCCATCGCTGTCTGACATCTGAGAATGGTTACCCTCACACCTCTTCCAGCTCTTCTAGGGATCAGATAATAAAAGGAAATGCAGAAATCATTTGAAGTGGAGCGGATAAACTGTTGTTTTAAAAGAGCTTTAGCTAGTACAATAACTAAGTCCAAAGTCTCGAAAGGCAACTAAGCAGGATTCTCTTCTTTTTTTTTTTTTTTTACAAGAAATCAGTCTCTTATAATGTTACTTGAAAAGTTCAAGCTTTTCCTCTTAAAACCCTGCAAAGACACATTAAAAGACAACATGACAGGAGCCTGAGTTGAACAGGAGGCCTCATTAGCAAAAGATATCCTTGATAAAACCATGAACAACACAAACTTAGATGCTCTTGACTGTTAAGTATAGACGTAGAGTTCTCATGACTTCCAACAATTTTCTTTTTGGCATCAAGTGATGTCAGCTGTTTGAACAAAGAGAGATCATTCAGTTGTGTTGAGCTTTGATAACTGATAGCAAAGAAAAAAAGAGAGGCAAAAATGTCCCTGATCAGATCAAAACGTCAGGAAGCAAGTGTTTTTATCAGAATCTCAGCAAAGGACTCTGTAATGGACCTGGAATGTGGCTGGAGAACGTCAGTGAGGGATTGAGAGCTAGATAAAAGGCCTGGCGTTTTGCAGTTCTTTGTTTTTTTTCTTTGGCCCAAGAAGTCCAGCAACAGCTTCTTACAGTATATCGCTTGAAAGGAGACAAAGAAGTTGAAGACTTAATAAAATTAAAATCAAATGCTCTGTAACTTCCCAGGTTAGGTTGGGCAGCAAGGAAAAAATCTGGACAAAAAGTAGTCTATTGTCAGATTAATGTTGCACTGGTTAAAACCTGACCACTGAGTGGGTTATTTCTGGAGGAATTATTTTGGTTATGCATGTGTTTTGGCTGAATGTGAATGGAGCGAGTGAGTAGGCTCAGACGAGGGACCACAGCTGGATTAGCTGGTCAGCTGTGCTTTTGTTTACGAAGCTTCAAACTGCCTGAAGCTTTGTATTGTCTGGAAGTATCCAAAGCCCAAAACGTCACCAAAACCATCCAACAATAGTACACTGTAAATGTAACAAGACAGTGCATGTCCAATGATTGCATATGGAAACAAGTCTTACAGTTTATTCTACAAGTTTGTAACAACAGAGTTATAAAAAATCCTACAGATCTTATATTCTGTAAATATAAATATACATTTTAAAGAAATCACTCATACCTGCTTTTCTTTGGTGTGTTACTACTCTTTTTTGTGTTGGTCTAAAAAGGCAGATTTTGGAAGTCAAACCATCCTAAAGATGTTCCCTTTATCTTCTTCAGCTCCTGTCAAGCTTTTACTTCCAGTATTTTACTGCTCGCTAGTGTGAGAAATGTATCTGTGTTTTTATCCACTGGTTAAGACAAGCTTTGCAATAATGAGCATTACATTTCTTTTGAAAGCAGCTATGATTAGCTGGGGAAAAGAGAGGGAGGAAGATAGCTGAATGGACTTTGCTGGTTCTTTTAATTCACTCCCACCAGTGTAGAACGTAATGGTGAAGTCTTTTTGGTTAAATAGCTCATGAATGATGCATTTGTGACTACACTAGTCAACTCTGAACTTGGGACTAATTGAAGATTGCTCGCAAACAGATGTTGGCCCACTACAGACCATGGTTGTTAGCAATTATATGATAAACAACAGGCTAATATGCTAATTGTTAGCAGCTGTAAATGAGGTTATTTGGTATGTTTATACTCCAGTTACAGTAAGACGCTCGACTTCACCTGTCCCCCCTCGGGTCTGTCTGTTTGCAACCACCTCCAACTACAAGGCAAACTTACACCCTGTTCTGAAAAGTTTAAATGCTTTGCGCAGTGAACATCATTACCTTGTTCAGTTAGCATAACATAATCAGCCGGTTTTATTGACCGCCAGCATCTGCACATGGACACAACAGTAAACAATGGATGCCTTGTGCACTTTTTTTTTTTTTTTTTGCTGAACAAGTGCATTTCCTTGTCTTTCCACTGTTTTGGTTTCAGACTCCCTCAGGAATGTTTTTACCGGGGCACATTCCTCGCTCTCGGATCATAGCTTTCCATGGTGTGTCAGTTTTTTTGGCCGGGACCTAGTGAATTGGACAGCTGTGTCACATAGAGAATCAAACATCCATCCACATGGTCACAGGAAATCATCAGACCATCCCTACCTAACAAACTTTCTCTCTTTAAGACTGAAGCACATCTGATGGTACAAAAACGCAGAAGTTCAGGCGCAGCCAGGACCGCAAACTTAAATAAACAGAGACGTCGCAATGGTTGATGTGCACTTGCAAGCCTGCCTGTGTGTGCGTGCGTGCGAGCTTGCGTGCGAGCTTGCGTGCGAGTGTGTGTGTGTGTGTGCGTGTTTCTGTGTTTGCCATACCTGCCAGGTGGGGCCCCCTGGAGCACCCTGACAAGAGCCATTAAAGTTTATAAGCGTGAGGCCCAGCTGTCAGTCAAGTTGACAGGCTGCCCCCGTCCAATCCTGCTCTTAGGTGAACCCCAGGAAACCCCAGAGAACCCCTGACCCTGCTCTGACAGGGAGCTGTGTTAGAAAGGGCTGGGCAGCGCTGAGCAGGGATTGGCTATGGTTATGGCGAAAGAGTTGGCAGCTGTAGCCAGAAGGATTGAGAAGTAAAATTAATAGTTTGGGGTCCCCGGAGTGACATATTTGGGATGGGAGGGATAAATAAGTACTTCTGTCTCCCCCTCAGTTGAGGTCTAGCATTAAAATACTCAAGGGGCTGTGTTTGTGTGGGTGTGTTGTATGATGTTACTTTTGTGTCTTTATTAGGCAATCACACAGAATAGGCCAAAAAAAGAATTTCCACAGTGCAATTAAATATAAATGACGATCCGGACATTCTGCAAGATTTGCTCTTGACTCACTCTGATTGAAATTGGCCTTTAGAGTTCTGTGATCTTTAAGGACATGTCCCGCCTACGTCCTTCATCTCAGCAACAAGGAAAACGTTTCAAAGGAAACACTTTTGGATTGCAAACCAACACAGACCCTGCCTCTTTTTGCCTGAGGCTTCTGAGAATTTTAAAACTTTTACCAAATAACAGATTTCACTATACAAGGCAAGTACTTTGTCATATTTCAGACTTCAGAATAACAGAAAAAGACAAAAGCAGAGGGAGTCTTCTGAAAACCAGCTTGAATGTCATTCTACATTCAATGATCTGACATCTTGTTGTGTTACATTCCAATGTTTTTAGCAAGGCAGACCTTTTTGTTGGGGCAGCATATATCTTCGATGTCAAAAGCAGAGCAGTTGTGTTCTGAGCCGTTGCACTGTGAATACAAAAAGGTTATTTTGAGTGATTACATGGATAGTCTTTTGGACTCTTGAGGTAATGAAGCAAAGTTACATAACAGAATCTTCAAGTTGCCTGGCGAGTATTTCCAGCAGTGTAAGGAAAGTAAGCCTCCTCTCCTGTGTAAGTAACTCTGGATGAGAATGTCAGCCAAACAGAAAGTAACCCAATGTTAATTATTCATGGACAAACTCTCTGTTTATAAATGTCTTTGCAAACACACCTCTGTCCATCACAGTGTGCATGATGTAGCCTGTCGTGCCACAGCAGGATTAAAGTATCCCTCTCCCTAGACTGCCTCTTCCCTCGGCCCCCGTGGACCCCTCCCACACTCTATTTGTTTTAATTAAAAGAAAACTTCTAGCCTTGGCTAAGCAAGGCCGACCGACAATGATTTTTTTCCCCCCTTTGCTCTGGCATCCTCCTCTCAAATCTCCAGCCAAACCTTTTTCTTTTTTCTCTTTACATGTTTCTCAGTCGGTCCTTTATTCCACTGGGGTTTAGATTTTGCAGCTAAGGGATGCATGTGTACTGTGTAGGAATGTAGAGCTGAATGAGTCTGTTTGACAAAATGGGATGAGAAATTGTCCTATGTGCAGTCGGCCAAGGGGGAAATTGAATCATTCCGGGTTGGGAAGGCTCGTCAGGGAATAGCCCTGTTTCCTCTGAGTTGTGGCTTGGACAGTTTCATAGGCTTAGCTGAGCTCCCCGAGGAAGGTGTGTGCGTGTGTGTGTATGGGTATGTTTTGGAGTGTGTGTGTATGTGGGTTTGTGTTAGCAAGCAGTTTTCATGTGCATCTGTGTATACTACTATGTTTCCCAGTACAAAGCGCATATTGTATTTTGTGTCAAAGAGTAGCAAAGCTGTCGGTGAGTGGGAGGAGGTTTGCATCTGCAGAATTATTTTCTTTTGTGTCAGCAGCTCCAGCTTGTTCCCCACCTCTTGGAATGATTCAACTCTGGGATGTGGTCCACATTCAAAAGTGATCCTTTAAACCAGGAGGGAACCGCATTAGTTCAAGTGGTCTTTCTGCCATGTTTTGAAGCTGCGTTCTTGAACACCTGTCAGTCACATAGAAATACATATCCATTCCTACCCACTTTATTCAAATATGGCATGCAACAGTTAATGCACTTAGCTGCTGTTCCCAGTAGGCATAGGTTCTGTGCCAGTGCCCCATGCCCGCCAAACAGCGGTTACATTTAAGCACAAGTGTCTTAAATAATCTTAAAGATGCAGCTTGTGGGAGTGCATTGTGTTACATGTGTTTCTTTTTGGGTAGAAAAGTGAAGCAGGAAAAGTGTTGTGATGTTATTTTCTCTTTGTTCCAGTTGGACCCCATACCTGATGAGGTGCTGCAGCAGAGACCCAATGCCAACGCTGTCCACTCGATGGAGAAAGTAATTGAAGTCCAAGGTAAAAAGTTTAGACAAACTCAAACACAGCATGCATACACATCTATGTGATGAACAAAACTCAATGATATTTTGATGGCCCATGGCCTAATTTGCATAGAAACATTTCTATCAAGACTCTACTTAGTTCTGTTTTTTTCTTTCCTTTTGTAGGTAAATATTGGCGCTCACTGCAACGCTCCGCCTCCACACTTGGTTGCTCGTTGAGTGAAGCCCTCCGGCGTGACGCAGAGGAAGCTGAGACCGTCTCCGCTATGGCGTCACTGTCTGTTGCCAACAAGCACATTGGAAAGAGGTACAGGCTTTTGTCTGTTTGTGGTATCTTTCAAGAATTGCCGAAACTTGAAGAAAACAATTAAAGGAATAGCTCAACTCTCTGAGAACAACCCTAATAAGATTTGTCACCATGACAAATCTTATTTGACTCCTTGAAGTGATCAGCTTCCCCGTGCACATGCTATTTTAACGGTATCTAACCGTGGAGTTCAAGGGGCGTTTTTTTTCTTTTGTTAAATGACACAAAATAAAGAATCATCAGTCATTAGCCCACTGAAAAAAGACCTTTCATTTGCAGTAAGTTTTATTATTAAAAAAACAAAAACCTTACACCACCCAGGGCTCCAGACTAACTTTTGCATTGGTTGCACTGGTGCGCCTAACTTTTTTCTTTTAGGTGCACCAGCACAAAATTTAGGTACACCCAAATTTTTCATTGCACCATAAGATCACCTTTTTATCGCTCTCCATAACTTTCAGATAATGTGAATGATTTTTAAACAAGAATAAGGTGTAGAGCAGGGGTGTCAAAGTCCTATTGGGTCGGGGGCCGGAATTTGTTCAAATAAGACCTCAAGTGGGCCGGACTAATTTTGCAGACATCACTATAACTCAACACATGGATATAGAGGCTAATGTATGATTAAAAAAAGGTACTTGTATAGAAAACTGCATGTTAATGTATAAAATCTTAAAGTACATTAAGCAGAGGGCTTAACTCTGTCATTGCAAACTGCATGTTGGCACATGGAAATATTTAAATGTACCACATTACAGAAGAAAACATCAATTATGTTTTGTTTTTGTTTATATTATGTTTTAATATTGCTGTTCAAGGTTATAGAAACTTTGACACAGGTTATTCTACCAGCCTTGGGATCAGTGCATTACTAGAGAGAGAGAGAGAGAGAGAGAGAGAGAGAGAGAGTCTTTAGATCTGTGTGTGTCAGGCCACAGCACAGTTTGCACTCGTTAAGGTTCATTACAGATAAAACCTGCTCACATGAATAAGTTGTCACAAACACACAGAGTGTCTTTGATGCAAAGACCGAAGTCATCTTCTGGTATTTTAGTAGTAGGCATTATAAAATGTTTCCAAACCAACAGACTTGAATTTCTCCTTCAGCGTTGCGCACTGCAGTCTGATCAGCTCCATGTGGTGGCTCTGGAGCCCTGCCACCTGCCTAGCATCATCAGTCATGCTAAATATCCAGCCGTAAATGGCCTAGACATTTTGTTCCATGACACATCAACAATCATTTGGTACACATGGCCAACAATGGTGTCTGTCAGGAGCAGGCAGGTGACTCTTAAACGTTGGCCCTCTGATTGTAATGTTACATTCAGCTTTCATCATAGGAAAAGGCTCGCTGGCTCCCTAGTCTGACAAACTGTAATCAAGCTTGTGACCTGTGTGACCCCTGAGCAGAACATTCCCAATTTTACAGAACCACACCCATTTAGAGGGAAGATGGGATTGATCTAGTTTACTGTCATTAGAAATTATACTCTCGTTGAATTACAATTATCTGTCTCTAATTTATAGTTTTATTTTTTGCCTAGCAACAGCAGATGGAGGAAAAATTCTGATAGGTTGACAATTAGGCTTCTTTCGTTTAACTCTTCGGGGCTAAATGAAAGAAGGCTTTATTTCCTCAGAAATATTTTGTGTATATGTTGATTGTCAAACTATGAATTGGAAAAAACAAGAACTTATCATAAGACTTTTTAGAAATAAAATGTCCTCCCTCTCGAGGCCTAGTTGGCTTTGACAGTTCCCCTTAGGTTTCTCTACTTGTATGTTATCTCTTTCTTTGTCTAAGCATGCACAGTACCTACAGCTATGGTACTGTAAATGAATAATCTAACAACATAGGTATGATCTTTTCTCTAGGGCTGAAGAGGAACCAATGGAAGAGGATGCTACCATGTAAAAGAAACATCCCCCGAGCCTCTGACCTCTCTGACGCGTCTTCATTCTGACAGTGTCCTCATCCACTTAGGGTCAATTTCAATGACACCCCTGCAGAAAGTCTCACCCTGCCAAACCAAGCTGGCATCTTGCTGTGGGGTGAGATCAGGCAGCTCAAGCTGGCTAAAGTGACGCACAATGGAAATGGAACACTGAAGAGACACTCACTGATCAGCGGTGCACAGACTGATCAAGTTCATTGTGTTTCTTTGACAACTCCCGTAGAAGAGGACTCGACCATTCATCAGTGACAGCCTTGAGTGCCAGTGCTTTTCAAACAATAGACGATATGTAGTTTTTCAAAGCCAGTGGGAATGATACACAGACTATCTGTATTCACCTTTATTTCTTGTTAGCCTGTTCTGTCTGTGCTTTCACGTTCATCAAAAAGCACCAGAGCTAATGTGATTGTGACTCTGCACTACGGATTACTTTTTTTCTGCTCTTTTGAGACATCATGATGAACGGGACTAAGGGATTGTATATCTTGCAGTTTTCAAGCATTGTTGAAGATAACTGAAGAGACAGATCATCGGGTGTTCTGATCCTAAAATGATTGACAGTGAAAGACTGAGTGTGCCTTTTTTTTTTTTCAAACCTGGTGGATTCTGTTGAACTCTTTTTCAAGAGCTTTTGCCTTAAAAAAAAAAAAAAAACAGGTTTGGGAACGAAGCCTCTTCTCCCCAACCCCTAAAACATTTCTACCCTGGCAAGACATCCAATGCCTGCATGTTGTTGGCACATACACTGGAGGACCTTGGCATGTTTACCTATAACTCTCTGTCTCTCCCTGTACCTCCATCTTTCCTTTTCACACTCATTTTTAATTCTCTCACTTTAGAAGGCAGTGCCCTGACACAAGAGGTGGTTCGTTTTAAAAGGAAGTTAAAAGTTGGACATTTTTGCAATTTTTATGCAAAAAAAAAGTCTTGCAACTTTGTGAATCAAGTCTTTACAGCACACTTGAACATTTGGTTGTAAAACACATATCTTTACCATAACAGCAGGGTTTAGATAATGTGCTTTCATCAGCATACTGACTACAAACTGCACTAACAACAAAGGGTCAACTCACACATTTTAAAGCATTGCTGCAGTTTGTTTTAGAGAGTCCATTTGAACCCGGTCCAAACCTTCCTGCCATTACAGATCCACACAAATAACTACAGGACACGAGACAAAATATTGTTTTAAAAGTCATATGGTAAACCAGCGCACCTCAGTATTTCAAACAAAAGGTAACACAGCTGACAGGGTTCGGGCCAGAGGTTCGGGTTGCAAACATTGCATCCACATGCCCCACCTTGGCTACAGGCCTGATTAAATAGTCAGCAGCTTTCCTTAGGTGCAGAGTAAAGAAGCACACGTTTTACTAAAACTACAGGACCTCTGATAAAGTGATATTGTCACTTTATGTTGTAATTAAATCAGTAAAACGTTTCAGTCCGACCACTGAATGTCTCTGTGGGAATCGGTATCTTGTTTTGCAGAGTAACGAGGCATAGACAGAAATGAACCACATGTGGGCCAATTTGTTGAACCAGCCCCTCTCTTAAGGACAATTGTGTCTCCGTGGTAACGATGACCATACCACCTGGGATTTTCCAGAGGAGTGTTCCAGGGCCGCACAGTCTCTCGCAGCTGTTTTAACATCTTTAGCCTCTTGTTAAGCACATCTGCTGCCCAAATGTAAGGTGCTGCGGGGCAGGTGTGTGCACATCTGCTCTCAAACAGTGGAGCACAAGCTGCCCTTTATAAATATTCAAGAGTATACACATATTTTTATAGTTATTGTTCATTTTTAATCATCCTTTGCTCCTGACAAAGTCATACTGCCGTTGGAATAAACCCATGTCTGGTTATCCTTGGAAGTTCTAATAGCACATGTAGCTCAGATTCAGCTTTTGTACCGACATGACGAGTCTGATTCCTCTTCAAATCAGTTATAAAAGTAATATTTAAGAGGACTTGAGAAGTAAATTTAAATATGAGCACACATGACAGAACAGTCACAAAATGCTGATTTTAATCTCCTTTCTGATACCATCCTTCCAATTTGAGATTGTCCCCTGGGCAACTACCTTCTCCCGCATTGATGTATCATACTTCATGTCTTTTTCAGTAAACAGCGAGCAGAGTGTCAGGATGTTTACTGTTGTTTACTGTATATAGGACAGTCTCCAGAGTATTCCTGCCACACTTTTGTCAATGACTACTCTTCTCTTCATTCCTTTTTCTCTCATTCTGTCGCTGTGTCGGTGGACTCCGGTGACTTCTATTTGTACATTTGAAATGTGTTGTTTTTCTCCACATTGCCCTCTTCTGTTACTTTGTAAAGCTGACATACTTCACCACAGGTGAGGGCTCAAATTCAGTTTTTAGTGAACAATACATCCCTTTGTTTTCTGGGTTCAGGGTTAGTGTGGGAGGGTTGGGATGCCAATGTTTTTACTTTGTATATTGATGGACATTTGTGTATTTACTGTATGTTCATAGTAGATTTATATATGAAAAGAAATGAGTATATTATATATATATCTATACATAATGAGATATTATGATCTTGTTTTTGAAGTTGATATTGATACTTTTCATGGGTCTTACATACAGTCTTCACTTGTTAGGGTGTCACTGAAGGCACCGTGCGCTGTTCTTGGTTCGAGTTAGTTACGTGTACAGTAGCATTTCAATGGCTGTCTTTTTCTCTTCAACACTGATGGCTGGCTTTAGGATTTTATCCCCATTATCATAACACTGTTACTGTAGGTGTGCCATTGTTCTCCGCTCAGACTCATTTATTCATGTGTGCATTTATACATTCCAGACTTTTTATTTTTGACAAGTTATTAGATTTTGTTGAGGGAAAACACACATTTAAGCAGACACATTTAAAATTGTAAGAAATGTAAGGCTCAAATACAACCAAAGTGGAGATCCGTTGTTTTTCCTTACAGGGTTTGCAAGTTCATTCTCCTAAAACAACAAAAAGGGGAGGGGTAGATTTGAATAGAAACATTGCCCTATATTAAATCACTCATATTGGCGCTGCTCATGATTTCACAGGATCATCACTTATTTCCTCATCTAGCCAAATGTTCTTAGTTTTAATTAAAATCAACATTCCTTCAATAAATCCAGCTCACATTTGTAATATCCTTCATCAACTAAGAGCTGCCTCTGGGCTTCATGGTGGCCTGTTTTTAGTAAGACTGCCCTGTATCCAGGAGGAGACAGGTATCAACACTCAATATCATTAATACATATCTGGCATGGGTGACATATTCTTTATCAATCATACGTGAGAAGAAAAGAAAGATTACAGTGTCATATGCTGAAAATCTTAATCAGACTTTTAAAGTCATCGTTTTTTTCATTTTGACTTAAAACTCCTGTGAGGAGTTTTTAGGTGGTTTTGAAATAGACTGAAGTTAATAATGAGGTCTCTTAATGAGCTTTACATGCATTCTCAATCAGCAACAACTTTGATTATCTATAAAATTGTTTGTTTTTTTAATGGCTGTAGGTGTCAGACAAGACCAGTAACAGCTACCTGCTGAAACAGACAATTTATGTTACATTTTCCACGGCAAAGATTGTCGATATGGGATTTATCTGACTGTTACAAGAAAGCAGGAGGATATCTTTTTGTTAAAAAAAAAAAAAACATTACACATGTACATGAGAAAATCAGCAAAAAATAAAAGGGGCCACTTTGTCCACAGGGGGCGTCAAGATCAACACAAGCCCAAAGTTCCTAACTGGAGTTATATTGTATCTGGCCTTCACTTGCAGAGTGACACTGCAGATGCTCTTCTAATGTCACATGTCCCTGGATCATTCATTACATTATTTTCCATGGCTTTTACACATGGTCAGAGTTCAAATTCATGCTTGGATCACCTGCCACGTAGCAGATTCACAGGAAGAATGGAAGGTGTGGATGTGAATTTGGTGCTTTCAGTAAAATGATATGCCGTAAAGTAAACTTTAGAGAGATAATGAAGGTCTAACCTTTGATAAAAGGGCAATGTTTAGCATAATCTATTTGGTCTCTCTTTGGTTTAGCCATGTAGTTAGATATTTTTCTCATTCCCATTCCATCACACACCTACAAAGTGGGCACGTTCTCCTGTATGTTCTGTACTTTTCAAAAGATCTGTTTCCAGGCATACAGAGGTATTTGCGGTTGGAAATATGAACATGTATACAGTCAGGCTATCCTGACTCTTACCTTTACTTGGATACGCTGACATTTTCTGTGCATGTAAACACACTTGATGAGATGCTTTTCAGTAACCGAGCCCAGAACATTCCCAGAACCCTTTGCAAAGCCGTGCCAGTCATGGGGCTTCAACTTCTGACTGCTTTGGTTTCTCGAAAGCAGCCAACAATAGCACTGTCTGACTCCTCTGGCTGTCTGTCTTCACTGTTAGTCTTAACACAATGTCCAGCAACAAAAAAATATTCCATTAAGTTATAATTTCCATTTATTAGCAGAGGGCATATCTCTTTGTTTGAGCTCTCAGAGTTCGTTCCAGCCAGGCCCGAGAACTGTCTGTTTATGTAGGTGGCCTGGTCTGACTCCACTCCATTCCTCTTTTCTCTCTGCATGATCTGTGTCCGCATGTACTGCCTACCTGTCTGTCTGTCTGTCCCATACCACAAACAGCACAAGGGATCAAGCACTGAAGGACGTTAGTTATTTTTACTGTATCCAAACTGTCTTCTCTCTTTTTCTGCTTTTTTTTTTGTCTCTGCTGGGGGCTTTCATGTTGTTCTTCTACCTGTAGGATATGACATCATCAAACCTGGAGGTTGAATTTTTACAGTGATGTGAAATACATATCTAGGGCTTGTAACACAGACAATATATTTTATGTATTTATGTCGAAAGGTTGTTTTCGGGGGACGCTTCGTAAACTGCGACAACAGAATGGACAAACGTTTCTCTTTACACCAGGCAAGATGTGACCTTGTGGACTGTTTGGAAAACTTTTTTTCTTCACTGTCACATCTGGACTTATCAAAGGGCTCCATCTAGACGCCTGGTCGTTGCTACAGTTGTCCATTCCACTTTTGAAAAAAAATAAGCCAGTTAATGCTATGACCACTGTGGTTCAAATCAAACAGTTCTAGGTTTACATATATGTATAAAATGCATATTCTTTTTTTTTTTTATTGGTTATGTTTTTGACTTGTTCCACCATTGTTACAGAAATAGTTCATTTTTCTGGGGAACCTTTGCTCTAACATGTTGTCTTTGACATCTACAATATAAAGTATTGTTTTGGAAAAACTGCAATGTCTGTTCATTATGTTGAGAATGTTAGTTGCTGGTTTTGATTTGGGGGCTGCAGAACCACTGGTTTAAGGTAGGGCTGCTCAGTGGTGCAGTGGTTAGCGCTGTTGCCTCACAGCAAGGACATTCCTGGTTTGAATCCCCATCTGAGCCTCTCTGTGTGTAGAGTTTACATGCTCTCCCCATGCATGCGTGGGCTCTCTCCAAGTACTCCGGCTTCTTCCCACAGTCCAAAGACATGCTCGATAAATTAATTATTGATTCTAAATTTCCCGTAGTTGTGAATGTGAGTCTATGGTGTGGATGGTTGTCTGTCTCTATATGTCAGCCCTGTGATTGACTGGCTACCAGTCCAGGGTGTAACCCCGCCTCTCGCCCGATAACAGCTGGTATCAGCACCAGCCCCTCTGCGACCCCAGACAGGAAAAGCGGTATAGATAATGGATGGATGGATGGATGGTTTAAGGTAAAGCTTTATTTTTTTGTTCCATTCAAATGGGTTTTACTGGGAGCGAAATAACTGTTGATGGATCTGTCTCCTCCTAACATATCTGGTTATTAAAAGTGGTTTAAACACTGACTAAAGCAGTTATACATTAAAAATCAGATCCCCTATTCTCGGCTCCTTGGACTGCTAATGTAGCTTCTAGTTTAGCTCAGTTTGTTCTCTGTTTTCAAACGTAATACTGACTTAAATACGTGAGTGCAAACAGTTAAAAATAATAGTGGCATGATTTGAATTGTTCAGGAGGTTTGTGCATATAGAAAACTTACCGATGTGAAACAGGAGACTCAAACTGAACATCCAAATCCAATTGGACTAAAAAATAATCTGACTTACACGCAATAAAAACAGCACTGTAAAAAATGCATATTAAAAGTCTGTGCACATGCACATCATAGGTTTTTGTGACTCTTATTTCATCCAATGAAACAGCTGACAGGCTGTTTTTCTATGCTAGCCAAAAGCTTCTGTCAGAAATGAGGAGCCGGCTTTGAAGTTCTGGTGAACTAACTTCATTCTAACAGAAGATGTTGAGTCTTAAGCCCTAACTTGAAGAGGTTTTTCACACATTGGGATGCAGCCTCTTGATCTACAAAAAGTCTCTCTGTGCAGAAGTACTTCCTAAGACTTGATGTGTAAAATTGAAGGAGTTCTCCTTTAAGTCCAGAGGGAGGCAGCATTGCTGGAATGGCCTCAGAGGGCCCCACAGTAGCTGTGACTGGGATTAGCCATCCATTTGGAGATGTCAAAGGTCTGAGCCAGTGTCCAAATAAACAGCAGTGAATCCCTGTTGGTGGTGGAACTAACGCTAAGACAACAGACCAGAGGAAACAAAGCCAATCCTGCCTCACCTCCCCTCAAATAAACACACATTTCTTTGCTTTTCTGTCAGACTCTTAATTTAGAGAGTAACAGTGTAAATACTGACGTTGGCCTAAGGCTTTGTAGGCTCGTCACAATCTCTGTAAATCATGGAGGTTTGAGACACTATGAAGCGACAAAGCCAAACATAGGAGAACATCCCTGGTATAAAGTTAAACACTGACATAAGGGACAATATTTACCATCATGCAGATGCTGAAAAGAGCTCTGAAGGCTCCCAGGAGCAGAAAAGGAGGACGTAAAAGCTGGGAATGCGACCTCTTCATGGTTCCTCAGTGGCTGGGGACACTAACGACCGCACTCATGACACGCAGACTGCCCGTCTCACCTTTAGCTTACCGAAGGCGTCAACGCGTTCGTCATCTCGTCACAACCCCTGTGACCCCTCGGTGAGGTCGGGTCAGAGGAGAGGTGGAGCCCTGCTTGTTGAACTTCCCCCACCCCCGCCCCCCCAGCCAACAAGATGGCTGCCTCTTCTCCACAACAAAGGACTGAAATGACAGCAAGGATGGCAATCTGGGAAAACCCCTTTCATATTTTCCCCTCTCGTTTCCCCGCAGTGACATTCTGGTGTGTGGCGGCTCTCTTGTCGTGCTCATCCTCTTGCAGAGTCGGCCGTTGTCAGTTTGCTCTGTCATTACCCGGCCACCGCTATACGTGAAAAGAGGCCTCATCCTCCCAGCTGCGTGCTCATCACCACACTTTTTAATTGCAGGTTTGACTGACTCGAAATGGCAATGAGGCTTTAGCCAGCTGCTGAGATGACAAACAGGAGCTAATTACAGATGATAGTCATTAGAATCAGTTGTAGATCATCAGCTTACATACGCATAGAAACATGGTTTGTAAAATATCTGCGGCATAAACGTAGAGGGGGTCATAGAGGTGATTCTGAAAAGTCAAATCTATGACACTTGTTGGAAATTGTTTGGCTAGTTCTTAACATGAGCTGGTTCTAGGTGACAAAATGTTAAACAAATTCAGTATTGAATCATTGCTTTGCTCTGATTTATTTTATTCTATGCCGACTTTGAAACAATAGACAAGCTCTGGAGAGAGTCTGTGACCCTTTGCTGCTCTTTCCATCTGATGCTCCACAGGGCAAGTTTGGATTTTGGATTTTCATTGTGTATTTGAAAAGCTGTGCTGCGTTTGCTTGTCTTTCTACTGTATGTGTTTAGTCTGGTGTTCAGTGCGTTGGCACCGTAAAAGGTTGAGGACGCTATGAAGAGCTGATGCAAACATAACGATGACACTGTCAGCTCGGTACAATTCACTAACCACCATAAATCTTTTGCTTTATCTTCAAAATGAAAGGCAAACAGGACAGTCGCAGCAGATGGCTGTTCAACATGAGTCTGGGTCTGTTCGAGGTTTCTGCCTGTAAATAGGACGTTTTTTTTCTTGCCACTGTTACTTTGCTAAGTGTTTTGCTCATGGTGGATTCATGTTGGGAACATGGTCTAGAACTGCTCTTTTTGTAAAGTGCCTTGAGATAACATTTTAGTTAAATTGGTGCTATACAAATACAGATTGATTGATTATTGAATGTATACAGTTGCCTTTATCATAATGATGCTTGACCTAAAGATAAGAAAGACACCGGCACTGATTCCTTTAAAGTCCAAGCCATTCTGCTAAAGCAAATATATATTGTCTATTTGTAGAGCTTAGAAATATATTTAAATGTATAATCTATGTTTGCATCTCTTTTTTTTTTTTAGTTTTTCTCAAAAAGTTTTTCTTCCTGGTCTTCACATCCCATCATGTATAAAGATGAATCCATCATGCGGTCAGCAGGACATGTGGTTTCTCAGATATGAGGCTTAATTCCAATAAGCTCTAGAAAAAAAAAAGTTAAAAAATGTAGGTCCAAAAAGAAATGGTACATGGAATTGAGCCTGTATAGCGCTTTTCTAGTCTTCTGAATACTCAAAGGGCTTTTACACCGCAGGTTGGGGAATGAGCCACATTACAA